AACGGGCACCAGCCTCTCCGGGATAGATCTCAGCTAGATATTTAAAAGAACATAGAGTAAAAGTGGGCGTGGCTGTTCCGAACGGATTGTCTCTCCTTTTCGTGCACGCGAAACGCTCGCGTAAATATTTGCGAATTACTTCGACATTTCTGCTTCCTCAACGATCATTTTTACGCAACAATTTTTCAACTCTTTTACCACACCGCCCTCTAATCCAAAACCATTACTTTAAAAAATATAAATTAAATTTAAGAAGCTACACCACTGTGAAAATTACAAAAAGACGAGATTTTCTTTTACGATATTTTCCTAAACGGTGTACACGTCATCTCGGGCTGTAATTAATCAATCGACTTGAAATTTTAAACACGTGCTTAGAAAAATAGTAACTTTGGCGATATAAATAAAAACAGTGCAGATTTTTGTGAAATAAGCAGCAAAAACGTTTAAAAATGTTTTTTTTTTAATAGGCACTAACTACGCTTTAATAAATACTATATAATTTATGAAAAAAATTTTTTTTTATTTCTGACAACTATAGTAATATTTTTTTATTTCATTTTTAATGTATACTTATTGGGATCTATATTAATCAGTGGCCCCAAAATAGATAGAATAAGAAGTATTAGTAATTCTATCAGAATTAATTCTCAAAGTTCGCTGTATTTTTTAGGGCGTCGCATTGATGCAACCCTCTAATTCAGCCAGAACTTTCCAGTAGACCTAATATATGTATATTAATATTCATAGACAAAACTGTAAAGGTAGAGATGTGTGGGGAACGGAACATCGTAATTCATTTGGAAATCAATGAAGCACACTACTACTGCAAAATTCCTAGAATTACTTTTTATTATTTGCACTCTCAAGCAACGTACTCGAAACTTTTTAGAGTTAGCTTCTTTTTTCAATTCTTGCCAAACACGCAGTATCTTACGAAGAAGAAATCTGTTTGGGAATATTTGCTCGAAGGCAACGAGCTTGAAAAACGAAAAGAATGGTATTTGAAGAGCAAGACTAACCGTTAGTAATCTGAATGAAAGTCCTAGCCAGTTCTAGTCGGAATAACAGTGATTCTGCCGTTTTAGTTAATTGCGCGCACTTGAGGGAACCGGCCGCGGTCCCAATCGGTGTTAAACCCAAGTTTAATCGTAATTGTCGATTATTAAACGTTGCACAAGCCCTAGATTACCACTTTCCGAACAGGTTAACGACATCAAACCCGCCGGTCTTTGTCAAGAGGACATCGCTTTGTCTTCAGACACGATGTTCAACGTGATTATCATGGGAGAAACGACCGTTTCCCCAAATTATCTCTCCTAACCTTCATCCCAAGAGAACCCATTCTTATGAAGCAAGAAAGCTCATAATTCTCATTACCAACAAAAAAAATAATCGTACGTGTATTCGATGCGTATCGTACCTACTTGTGGAAGAAGATAACCTACAAAACGAGACTGAGTGTTTTTCTCCAAATACAAAATGGCGGATTGAGAAACAATGAATCTTAATTTTGAAAATTTCAGTTAATATTATTTTTCAAATCTTAAAGAAACCGTCTTCTTTAAGTTTTCTTTATTGTTAATTAAAATATAACTTTATTCCTTACCGAGAAATGATACTTTCCCCCTAAAAATAACTAAAAAGCTACTGGAACCTTATGAACTGTCCTTGCTAAGTAATGGCCTGGGTTGGCCTGATCTTTTAAGATAATTTAAAGTTCTAAAGCGAAAACAAAACAATAACAACTAATAAATAATTTTTAAACTTAAGATGTAATTCGTATCGTACGATAACTCGGGTTTCTGATAATTATACCTTGAAAACTGAGATTGAAGGACAATAGTTTTTTACTCTAGAACAATCAGTGACCTTCCACTTTCAGCATACATCAAAGCCTTTGAAATCGGCGAGGTCGTTGACACGGTACATAATTATGGGCTAATTATCGCAGTCAGACAGAAAGTCAAATATAAATAATAAATCTCATAAATGAAATGAAATGTTTAAATAAAAAATTCGTTATGATAGAATCAAGAATTTTGTTGTAGAATTAATAATACCATTTACTGTTGATTAACTATTATATAATAATAATTTTAATAAAATGTAAGATGGATGTAAGTATTACAAATTCAATCTACCTTTGCCTTTACAGAAACAAAACCGTAAATAAATAAAGTTTATGAAATTAAATTTATTGTCAAATTTAATTTAAATACCATACTTTATATTAATTAATTTTTTAGTATAATATTGTACAATTTTTACCTTATCATGGCGTAATTTTATTCACTACAAAGAAAGTAAATATTTTGTTGTACATTATATTACTATAAAATATCTCATTAAAAAAAAGTATACTATTTACATGTTTGTATAATTCACAACACTTGTTTTGAATATTTTAAACAAAGCTATGTCTGATATTAATGCCGAATTAGTATTCGGACATTGTAGAATATAGCAAGTTATGCGAGCTATTACTTCGATCGTAAGATATAATTTGTAAACGTTATAGTCTACATACAGAGTGTTCGGCCACCCCTGGGAAATATTTTAATGGGTGATTCAAGAGGCCAAAATAAAACGAAAATCAAGAATACCAATTTGCTGATGGAGGCTTCGTTAAAAAGTTATTAACGTTTAAAGCTCCGCGTGTACAGAATTTTTTTCACGAAAATGCGCAAGATTTCGGGAGTATGTCTATTCACCAAAAATGATTGTAATTGACCCCCGCAACCGAAAATGATTTTTCAAAAACGATTTGAAATTTTTGAATTTAATTGTTAATAACTTTTTAACGAAGCCTCCACCAACAAATTGGTATTCTTGATTTTTGTCTTATTTTGGCTTCTAGAATCCCCCCTTAAAATTTTTCCCATGGGTGGCCGAACACCCTGTATAGTGTCCTGAGTCTCGAAAATATAATTTTTAATTTTAGATTACATTTTTGAAAGATGCAAGAATTGTATAAAGTATAGTGAAGAAGATACAAAAGCCAAAAGCAAATCCAGCCAGAACAAAGCCAACAAAAAAGTTTTGAATAAAGAAATATTATTATAAACCTTTTGGTAAAAGTTACTTTTTTTTACTATTTATTAGGAGCGCAAAAAATGTTGTTAATCAGAAACAAATGAAAATGTAGCTTTAAGTAGTTTTAAGGAGTAAAAGTCGTTGGTTGCCATTAATATACGCATAGTTCCATGTTACTTTCATATCTCAAGTACCCCTCGCAAGAATAAATTCAACTGCAATTCTGTCTGGTATATTAAAGCAACAGTTTGAGCGGGTCGTTGCGAGCCAGTTAACGCTAATTTTAAGCAGAAAAATTACGGAGTATGGAAAATATTGTGGCCACTCGACACAATTTCCCGGCAGACGGTTTTGCGGGATGTTGTGGTAACAAAGGATTACATAATTTGCCACATTCCTTGCCAACATACTAAGCTCGCCACGTTTGCTTCTTGTACGACACGATACGAGAGAAAGTATTGCGCACGCACACGCGAGTTCGACTCGCCGCGGCAATCGAAATCGAAATCGAAAGAAAATGGACGGCACTCGGCGAATCGATTGTCCAGCTGTTCAACGGACCAACAATACTCTCGATCGATTCGTGACAAATTAGATAATTTAGGACTCGATACTGTAGGCCAGAACCTTTCCCATTCCTTAGTATTCTCCACTTCTTAGTCACGACTTTCTAATGAATGAGTAAATAAATTTACTGCGACATTTTGAATACTAGAATTTCTTGAGACCGTAGGGTGTAAGATTAAAGAGATTAAAATACAGAATTATATAAAGTAATAATTATTAATTCAGTTAAATCAACAAAATGATAAAGTTTGTAATCGATGGACCAATTTAATCGTAAAACGAAAAATAACTAAAAGTTATTAAATAAAATTACTAAATAAAATTTTCTATATTAGTTATTGAATGAAGCCAATCGTTCAAAGTGTTATAAATGGAATTATTAAAGAAATTGAGACATACAGTAATACAAGAAAAAGGTTTGCAAAAGTATCAAGAAAAGTAAAATTTTCTGTTACGATAAAGCATCGTACAATTAGCTCTATGAGGACGTATGAAATTAACAATGTCATACACGTAAAGAATAGGTTAAAAGAGTAATGATAGAGGCATCGACAGTGAAAGAGTACGACGATTATTAAGATAAGCTGGTGTGAAAGAAAGAACCAAAGTTACGTAACTGCTTCCAACAAAACATTACAGGATAGTATGAATAAAATTTACCAAACAGTATGTGAACTTCGCTACGTAAGATTAGGAACACGAAATGAGGACAGATTACAACAAAATATAGTAATTGAAAAATATAGTAACACCTTTCCCCTTTAAATCCCCTTCAAAGGGTTACATACCTTTATTATTATTTTTGAGTTGTATCATTTTTTAAAAGTATTATAATATCCTCAACGACTACTTCTTTCAATTTTTCATCGGGTAGAAGGGTGAAACTTTAAACGCGATTTTCTCGAAACTGTGTTTCAAAAATCGGTACCAGAAAAATGTTCTATAGTTACTGTTCGATGCTATATCCATATCATAGGATTTTAAAAATTGATGGATTACCAACAATATAGAAATAATCAATATTTTCAAAATTGGCTGTGACAAGCACTAATTTTATACATGTACTTTAACATACAATTTTTATTTTTTATTTCAGATCACGGTTAACAAAGATATCCCTGGTACCGCAAAAGTTATTTTTAAAAACACCGTTCTTTGTGTCAAATATTGTTAAAACCATGTTGTACGAACAATAACTTCTATTTAAAGAAAAAAGTCTAATTTGAATCGTTATGTACATTTCTTAATTTCGACCTATTCTTATTAAACCCTCCAAAGGTATGTTACCCGTTAAGTAGAAAGGCGCTTTTGACCTTAGTCCTGAAAAAAGCCATTCACAGGATAATGTTGTCGATCGATCAAAAGCCAGTAAATAGAAAATTTGTCTGTTAACTTACCAACAGAAACGCCAGTGCAACTCCCCGCCAGTCCATGGCTAAAATAAAAGAGAAAGTCTTATTAATAACTGGGTCGAACTCCCATGAGTACGATCGACCGTGCAAACGTCTCTCGCGCGAGAACACTTGCACTGAACGCGGAAAATCGGTTCGAAAAAGCCGCGTAAACGCCTTTTTACTCGACACATTCACTCTATAGATCCGGTTAAACGTCTTTGGTCGCAACGTAACCGATTTCGATCTATCGATCATCGATCTCCATTGTACTAACGTCTATAAAACCCGGCACTATCGTTCTCCATTCGTGAAATAGTCCCGTTTCAGCAGTTGGGATCATGTTGGTAATCGTGTCCTACGAAAAGTCACATTTCGTTCGATGGGAATGGAACGAGTTCGTCGCGACTCACAGACGCAAACGTTTGGTCTTTCGTGACATCGCGTGGTTGAAGTTCACAGGGGGTCGAGGGCTGGTTTACAAAGGACACGGTGGACGTTTTCGAGGTGGTTAGTAGAACCACCGGGTGTTGGGTTCAACGAGAAAGCGACGCGGTGTTTCGTGGAGGTGGGCAAACATAAGTACTTAACGCAACGTTCACTTTTTCGAGCAGCAGGAAAGGTCGGTGTACGAAACGATGCCGAGCACACCGGGCCACCGTGTTTCACTGCAGTCCTTCCACGCGGATGCCATTTTCACTACATCACCGGCTTTTCTCGGCTCTTGAATGCACACGAGCGACGCGCGGCGTCGCGACACACAAATCGCGGGATTTACGAGGCTGGTCGATCGACATCCCGCAAGGTTCTGCCACCATCGTTCTACCCTTCCACCTTTTCTCGCCGAGACCAGGACAGCCAGGATCGTATCTTGTGCTGGCGCACTTCGTAACCCAGGGCCGTCATAACCTCTACCTTTCATCTTCCAGGCGTATTTCCGAAAAGGACATACCTCCGATTTTTTTTACACTCTGGATTCTTACGTATTTTGACGTGCTGATTACGAGTATGATAGTGAAAATTGACGAAAATTTTATTTTCATAGCGCAAACCATGAAAAAAAACCATAAAAATCATAGTTTTTTTTATTTACTTTTTTAAAAATACTTCAGATAAAAGTTGTAGACCTCATCAAAATACACATTTTATGCCCTATTGATTTTTGTCATAAAGATAATTTAAGATAAAGATTGAGAAAAACGATATTAAATGTTCAAAACTTCATATAACTTTAGTGGTTTCAATTTAGAATTGATTCAAGAATCGAACATCCCTACTATAAATCAATACTAAGACCTGCACTGTACCGCAAAATCGTTTCCTATAGAAAAAAGTTACTTCTGATATGTCAATTGACACGACGATCACACATCATAAGAATTATATTGATATTTATCGAAAAATTGATCGAATAAGGAAATACTTTTTCATTGAGACTTTTTTTCCTCACATTTAAAGCGACATCCGTTACGTCAGCGACGCGTCGGAAGAGTTGTATGGTCATCACGTAATTTGAAGTCACTCGGCGACTTCTCAACTGCCTGCGTAAGACGGGCATAGTCATCGATATACGCGCTATTGTACTGTTACGAAATAGACCAACACAATTGTTTGTTGATATGAATTGTGATCAATTTTCTGGATCAATATTTCCATTCGATAACCTAATTTTACGACGTTTCGTACTTAATCTTACAATTTTTGTGTTAATTTTGTCATATCGATACTCCTTTTTCCTACGCAATTCAATTTTTCATAGTTACATCAGATACATGAATTCTCGCATTTAACATTATGTTTTATTCCACCAATCGAAATCTATTCCTCTGAAATATAAAATCATTTAGTTAGATAAGTATCGTTGCAATTTTAGTCCTCACTTTCTGGTTAGAAAACAAAAGCGAATTTAAAATTTCGATTCCAACCTTCGAATTTAAATTCCTTTCACCGAAACTCAGAGCTATTCTCTTTCTGCCCACTTAACATGACCTTGTAACAAATTCAACGTTTTTATCTTTACACAATGCCTTTCTATTTCCATGTTCTACTTTTTAACATTCTTTCTCAATCGTCCAATATCTGAAGTTTTCACAAGCTCAAATCTCCCAGGACGTATTTAAATAGTAGTTTAAGCGAAGTACATAGCACAACATAGCCTATTCAGTGTTTAGGTGAACGTATCATTAAAAAATAACGTTCGACTTCAATTTCTTTTTTTTTAAAACAGGTATATGACTGTATCAAATGTTTATCCGTGGCCAAAAAGTACGTATATTAAACTCTCGATCTACTAAAATTTATTTAAAAATAGTACTTAATCGCCAAATTATGTGCGTTAATATATTCATGATTATTTCAATTTTTCAACTATTTATATCTAATAGTTTAAAATTGAACATTAAATATTTACAACAAAAATAAAAAATTTCGTTTCAGACCTGTCATGTACAATTTACAAAAGTATTAAAATGACAGACACCCTAACAAAATCGTTACTTTATATTTTCGTTACTAGTGACCCTTTAAAATACAAATATTTATTCATTTTCTTATGATATTATACAATTTTATTTGTTTCCACCCTCTAGTACTCTAAATATGCTGCATTTCATCTACCGATCATCGAAAATGAATTTCCAAAACCTACCTTATTTTTCAACTTGTTACTTCGGCGTAAAACCTTTTAACTAGTTTAAATAAAACAAATTTTTAACAGGGGTAGATTAAAAAAACAAACAATTGATTTTACTTAGTCAACATACTTTTGCCACAATTCCTTTCCTCTACACCCCCCCTCCCCCCTCCCCTTCCTTGTACAAAGCCAGTGGCGTAATTCTCGATCGATTAAAATCGATTTATTCAACATGGGAATGTGGGCGATCCTTGGCCGCCGGGTATTTGGTAACGCACCACCTACTACGAGGATGAACGAGCTTCGCGAGCCTTGTGCTCGTTTTCGCGCGGTTTTATTGCATAACCGTCGTTTCATTAAACCTTCTACTACTATTAAGCAGGGGAAGTCGAGGATCGATACATTTAGGTCACGATCACGGCCATGGTCATTGAGATGACTGAAATGGGATTATATAATAATAATACACGTCGTCTCAACAAGGTTCCTCGAAAAAACTTTTTTCAAACTCTTCGTTATAATTAGATGATCCTATATTTCACGTGTAGTTAATATATTGTAAGAATCGAGGATAAACGAAAAAATGAGGAGTACACGGGGGATTCGAAACCCACGATCTTCGGACTACTGGCCAACCGTCTTACCGACGTCGCCATTGCCATGCCTCTGTTACTCCGGTGTTAGTGATTCCCTTTTATGCGGTTCTTGGGATTTCCGATTCGTGCAACATCCGTGCATTAATCCGTCAACTTCTTTAATGCACAAACACACGGATACCCGCGTGAAGAATTTCGGTTATTTAGTTGTCTCTTGAAGTAAGCGGGAGTTCAGACCGTGACTTCGGAGAACACGGCAACTAGAGAGAGATGACTTGATGGCTAGGCACGCCGATTGGCCGTACCGTAATAGCGACGCCTGCTCTCACACGCAATGTTATTATTGGCGGAGTTGCTCACAATTACAATTCCATCGCGTGACAGAGGACACGAACGAAACGTATAGCGACAGAGTAGGATAGGACAAGACTGATGGACATTGGCGTAACCGTACGCTCAAAATACTGGCTATGAATAGAACAAAAATGTACTTCTCGCGGCCATGGAGACCCTACTACAACTATGCAACGTGGCGTCAGAGTGGGCCTCTATGTGGGAATAAGGCGGCGCGAAGACCATTTCTCCTTGCCCTTGCTCCGTTTAGTTTGCAGGTACCTAGCCAACTAGTCATCTCTCTATAATACCTCTCACATGTCAGATCTTCGGTCAGAAATTCTCTTCGTCTCTCATTTCGGTCAGAGGCTATTAAGAGACATGTAATCGGTTGTGAATCGCGGTCACTATTTCGATTACAACACCCTACTGTCTATACTATATTACCCGGTCAGCTGTTGTCCGTTCGCCTCGCCATTTTCCGTACGTGTCCCCGCGCGGCGTTCAAGAAAGGAAACTGTTGCTTCCACGTTATACACAGATGTTAGCCATTCTCGTGTCGCTCGCACCCCCCTTCGAGTCTTTTCAAGCATGCCTGAGCATTCCGCCCTCACAACCCCTCCTGGTCGTGTGGAACGGTATTCGCGTCGAGGTCGAAATCGCGCACGATACGTTAAAGCAGCAATTTTCAATCTTATTTATTTCACGTCGCGCGTACGCTAATCATTAAATTCCCACAACGCACCAATAAATATACGAAATTTTGTTATGTGCCTAGCCAACAAGTCATCTCTGTATAGAAGGTACATTAAATAAAGCTGGCAACTTATGTAGTTTTACTTAATGGCGAATATTTTGCAAGTAACGACAGAGTTGTTACAAGTAATCAAAGTCCACAAATTGAAAACTGGACCGCTGGCAGCCGCATACCGGAAAAAGTAGGACATGCTTCGCGTTTCCGTTGCTAACAATGAGCTAAAAGCGAAAACAATGACGCGTGATGCTCAATTGAGAAAAATAGCTATAAGTAAAGTAGATGACGATGATTTTGCTGTTGAAGTTATATTTTATGACTTTGGAATAGATGCCCTTCGACAAAATTGCAAAATTTTATTCTCGACTAACAAATAAAAATGTTAGTTTCGCTCGTAAACTAGCTTTTGCCGCGGCTTTGGTCATTTGAATATTGATTTAAAGTATTCGTTAATAGACTCTAATTTATAAAAAAATTTATAAATGAAACGTACATAAAAATTAGTTCCCGATTCAATCTACAATTTGTATTCGTTATTCGTTAATAAAGTTTATCCAACTCTGCTCTTTGATAAGTTTAAACACTCCAACGTTATTTCATAGTTAATTTTTCACATTTTAGCGGCTTTTATCTCGAAACCATAATTTTCAAATTGTGCAAATTGATAACTCAATTACATTTGATTCAATTTATGTACTTAACATTTTCGACAGATGGTTTATATTTGAATTAAGATGATATACATTCTGTATATTTTGGTTAAATTTGGACAATGTACATATACAAGGTGATTCATAAAAACATGTCCATATATTCCTTAGCTTTCAGATTATGACTAATTAACACAATAGTTGCTATGGTGATCACCGATGACCGGTACATACTTCAAATACCGACGCAAGTGTACGCTATACAGGGTGCTCGGCCACCCCTAGGAACAATTTTAATGGGAGATTCTAGAGGCGAAAATAAGACGAAAATCAAGAATATCAATGACAGAATATCATTGACTGAGGCTTCATTAAACAGTTATTAAAAAATTAAATTAAAAAATTTCAAATTATTCTGAAAAAATTATTTTTGATTGCGGGGCTCAATTACAATAATTTTTTGTGAATAGACCTACCCCCGAAATCCTACCCACTTTCTAGAAAAAAATTCAGTACGGGCGGAACTTTAAACGTGAATAACTTTTTAACAAAACCTCCATCAACAAATTAGTATTCTTGATTTTCGTCTTATTTTGGTTTCTAGAATCTGCCATTAAAATCTTTCCCAGGGTTGGCCGAACACCCTGTATACAGTGAATGTCAGGTATCAAATTTTTGCTTAAAACATACTGTTATCATGTATTTAGGATGATACAAATTTGGAAATATATGCATTAATATATCTTTATTGAGTATGTGTAAGTATAAATTAAAAGCTTTATTTTTCATAAAAAAATTAAACATTCGATAATACCATACAAAAATCACCAATCAGTGTTATGTTTTGCGTATTAGAAATGCTGTTGGTTCTAATTTTGTTCTCGAATTCTTGCTATAAATGTCCAATGAAATTAATATCGGATGATTGTGGGGGCGTAGGACTCTTCTAGCAATAGATTCACTTATTTTTATATCTAAATAAAATTCAATTCAATTTCAGCTGCTAATTTTGGTGTACTAATACGAATATTATTTTTGACAATATTAATAATTTATTGTTAATATTGTGTATTCAACATTTTGTCCGATCTTATATTTTGGTTCGACACGCGATTGGGTTTTTAAAATTTTTCAATTATATATCGAATCGTACTCCTCCTTCTATTAACAATTTTGGAAATTTCACTATAATTTTTTCGATTGTTATAATGATGAATAATTAACTTGCATTTTGCTATAGCCGTTTGCCTCATATTTTTCAATTATTTTCGTCTTATTCTTATCGTCTATTATCGAATACATTTCATTTTTCTATTAAATATAAAGCATTTAATTTGTAATTACACAGATTTGATATAGACATGGCATAAATTTTTATATAAGAGGGCTAAAAAATTAACCGAAAACGTTCTCTATTTTTGCTTACTAAAAATTAGATCGATGAATATTTGTTCATTATGAGATAAATACTTTGATCCATAATTTAAATTTTTATTTTTATTTAATGTATCTAGATAAGAATTTTGGACAGGTCTGTCGGCTGTTGGAATAAAATTGGTCAGCATATATATTCGCTAAAAGTGTTCCAGCGGACTCGATTTGACGGTAGTTATTGTAGAGTAATTCAGTTTGAAAAGTGGCTCACCTGTTTCAGAAGTCAGTGGTCGAAGAAACATTTCCCAAAGTCCGACGGCACGACGCGATATATGTATAGAAAGCCCTTTGTCACCAGCTCTTACTCAACCGACGAGTGGAGCGTGAAGAAAGAGAAAAGAGTCAAGTAAAACAATCCACGGATCACTTTCCAGCAAAACCGGACAGGTTCGTTCGTCGGATCACTAGTTCGATCTACCTCGTGGATCCCGGGTCATTCATCATCAGCACTTCCGGTAGTAGATCTGACTGGTCGAAGAGCGTCGAACACGCGTCCTGACCGGCCATAAAGTCCGTCTCGCGCGCGTCGACATCCCCAAACTCGCGGTGGACCTCCTGGCTCGGACTGGTCTCGCGAACGCCACGCGTTCCTTACGTTGATCCACAATGATCCCGATGATCGATCATTCTAGTCGCGATATCTTCGTAACCGGGACTCAGTATCTCAAATATTCAACATCTACGCCGTAAGGAGAACTCTAAATAAAAGTTTAAACGTTTGCAGCTGATCGCGGTATTCGATACCCTTGATACTCTTAGACTCTGAATGTCTTCCTCGTCGTTATTAATTTCACAGTGACACGTTCGTTGAAATACGTTTCCCTGATCTTCCCGCGCGCGTGTTCAGCGAATTCTGTGAAATCTTTCACGCCACTGCACCACCACACACACCCGCCGGCAGTCGAGCATGGATAGAGCCGCAAGAAAGAGAATCGGTTGCGATCGACGCGAGGCTCGAGACTGCACTGTTCTCTGTTCTCCGTTGCCTATGCTCCCCCTTCGTGACGGTAGTAGAGGGAATCCGATTCACGCGGAAGAGGGAGTCACGAAAAGAGAGACCAAGATACACGCGACAAGTTGTCAAGAGAGAGACCGTTATTACAGATGCAGAAACAACGAGGCAAATTTGAGAAAAACGGTGGGGTAAAATTCTTGGGAAAATCTATAAACGAAGGTGAAAAGAGATCCACCCAACGTTGTTTTCCTCTGGAGCGAGAGAGAGAGGATAAAGTGATAGAGAGAGTACTGGTACAACCATTGACCGCTAGAGCGCGACACTTGCGTTTATTCTTTTTTTCTTTCGTTCCTCGATAGATCCACAAGTGGCAAATAGTGATGGGCATTTAAAGGGATATTCTTGTCTAAAATTAAAAAAAAAATCATAATTAAAGTATATGCCGTCGAAAATATGTTTGCAATTTCTTTGAATTCGCAATATTTACGTAGTACAGTCGTTTGAAGAGCACCGTAACGATAGGTATATTTTTTTCTCGCGTTAGACCTTCAAAGGTATTAAAGAGAGTCAGAAATTGATATTTCTGTAACAACCGTTGAATTCAACATTCGATACGATAGTCGTCCGAAATAGCCAAAAACACAACAAGAGGAGTAAATATTATTTATGGGAAAAGATGTCATAAATGTATAAAATTTGTATGCAAAAATAATTCTTTGGTTATATCGTTTCACAACCTTTTGAATTTGATTGCGATTTGCGAAATTACAGTTGGTAATCTAGAAAATATACATTTTATACGTTTTTAAGATTCATTTCTCACAAATTCATTCGATTTCTCTGTCTAGACGGAAAGTGTAGTGTATTATTTATTTTACAATAATACTATAAATTATAAATGTTATAAACATTATAAGCCATAAACACGATTTGTAGCATTTATTGTAAAATAAATAATTTTATTACTTACAAAAACTCAAAAATTTAGAATTTTTCAAATCTCTTTAAACTAACATGATTTTTTCACTCGAGGTTATTTCAAGGTTTATTTTAGTATGGTCGTTGAATTTGTCTTAACGTGTACTACAATACTGCATTATAAAAAATATATGTTAATGCGCAAAAAAGGGTAATAACTTTCAAAACTCGGAAAAAAATAATCTTGAAAAAAAAAACATAAATTCTTAGATTCGCACCAAACATATTTGTCCTGATACATTTTTTATATTAACAAAAATAACAAAGATATTAGGATGTACAAGATAAAAGTAACACCTTATACATATACATATCTCTCTATACATATAAATATCTCCACTTATATCTATATCTGTTTTTCTTAAAATTAACAAAATATTCGTCAAAAATATAATATTTTAAATAATTACTTTACATTTATTTACTTGTTCCTAATCCTATTCTACTTCCAAAATACAGTCGATCGAATAAAGTAACTATATGAATTAGCTTAAGTAATTCATTTTATCACCTCAGTTCATGGAAGCATATACATATCTCATGGTGATATTCTATTATTGCGACTAAATATATAAAAGACAAGAAAATGTTTAATAATTAAATATTATAAAATAATAAAGTAAACAAAATTTCAGATAAAAGATTAAATTAATTTTCCCATACTTCAAATTGCATAAACAAATCTTTATTTCAATGAAAATTTGTTAAGTTACAAAATAATCATTCTACATACGATATAATTTTTGCTTATATTAATCCCCCCTCCCGTTTAAATTGTGAGGTAGGGCGACTGTTTATCAAAGAATATACATATCTGTCTAAAATACGTCGTTAGTTTTAAACATTGATATACATATAAAATTGATCGGATCTAGTCCATGGAACCTTTCCAAAAATTTGTAAATAAGTATAATTTCTGACAGTGTCGAGGAAATTTGAAAATTGTTGTTTCGATACAACTCGAAACCATCACTACCGTAAGGAGTCTGGCGAAAAAGGGGTAGTAAAAACGAATCGAAAGAAGGAAAACGGTCGCGGATGTTGCGAGGAAAAGGATAGCCTATATTTACGTCATCGCCTGGCTTAGATGCTGTATCACGCTCCTTTCGAGGGATGTAGACTCCGATTCTTCTCGATTCGTTCAAGCAAAATATTTTCTAACCGTACTTACACTTACATGTTTATATGCTTTGTAAACTGATATTAATATTACGTGGAACAAAATATATAATCATTCCTGAGATAAGAATAGTAACGAATCTTTAACAATTTTGTTAAGAATATTGAGTTAACCACTTGTAAAATCTAAATATCTATACAGATTATCTAAATATTATAGAGAACATTTGGGATATAATAAATAAAATATTATATGAAGGTGGGAAGCAGTATAATATAGTGTCCGAATTAAAATCTGTAATTTTAAAAGCTTGGGAAAGCTTGGATCAAAATTATATGAAAAACTTATATAGAAGTTTACGGTCGGCCATATAAAAAAGTTTTTCTACGATCTACTTACAAAATTACGAAACACAGAGTTACCGCCTTTTGATAAATGTACCCTTTCGGTCCCTAAAAACGAAATAAAATTCTTTACCCACATATTTCTATAAAAAAGCAGAATGTTTAGTATAAAACTTAGGACATCGGAAAATTTTACCAAAAAAAGGGACTGTCTCGGGGAAAACGGGATAAATTGGCCCCCTAATCTAGTATTATTAAATTAACTTTTCATGCCCCATCAAATATACAATATAATTTTTACTTACTCGTTGACTGAACGACATCTACTGGAAAATAATTTTATATACTGGTGCAAACTGAATTGTATGGATAACAAATTACCGGTCGCGTATACGCATAACACGTGTTTCATGTGAAAGCAGAGAATTTAATAATGGCGCTTATTCACCGTGTCTGTACAAATTATTGCCCTTTATTAAATAGTTTTTATTGCAAACATACAGTTAACATAAAGAGATATAAGTCAAAAAAGTCGAGAAAGTTGAGTGGTAAGTAGATATTCACAAAATTAAATTGACAAAATAGGAAGCAAAGTAACCTCAATTGTAGTATTTTCATCATGTTTTCGTTTCTATTTCTTATGTCTGCACTATAACTTAATATCAAAGTGTTCTCACTCAGCTTTGACTTTTATTATTTCTTCGTAATTTTCTTTTGTGTAATTCAATTATTGGTATAAAAACTAATTAATAGTTTCCAAAATATTTACATTGAGTATTGAATGGTAGCATTGATAATATAATTGTAACATTACTGTCTTAAATTGTAAGAAAGTAATATGTTAAATTTAAACAATTGTCCTTAATTCTCATAGGTCATATTATTTAAGTATTTTTACAGTTGTCTTTATTATTTAATAATTTTAACCTGTTATGGAATTTATATAGGTAACAATAGCCAAAACTGAATAAAATATATAAAATACATTTTATAGATTCCTTATTTGCTCAGCTCGTAACTAATTATGACACGAAAACGTTTAACGATATAATTCAGTTTAGACGAAACCAAGCATCTAGAAGTATTTTAGTGCAATTACAAACATATCAATGTATTGACGAGTTTAAGCATCATTGTGATCAATATGGAAAGATTTTAAATATGTTTCATTATATAACAAAAAGTCTTTACGTATGTATATACTTTAAACAATTTTATCTCAGATTTACATGATATACAAGCTATTTAACTAAGCATAAGTACTTTCATTAGACAATTATTTACTATGGTATAATTTGATATTGCTTTCAGCCCAATTTTATATTAGTGGAATTTGCATCATCCAATTCTATAAAAATTATAAACGATAGTGTTGAGTATATGAAAGATGTAGAACATATTCCTTTGGAAACAACAATGTTGTGGTTTCGTAAAAAAGATGGGTATACAACATCACAGCTTGAACCAAATAACACAAAGAAATTTCTACACCATTGTCTTACATTTCCTACATCTGCATCAATTATGAAACATATAAACCAAGAAGCACCTGTAATGTATTAACATATTAAATACTATACTATATTTAAGAAGTAGTAAAACTTTTTACTGTTTTAGCTTTCTGAACAAATGATTGAGCTTCATAATTTACTGAAGTTTACAGATATTGAAACAAGGTTGAGATTTTATACTGCTTTTCAATTAGAACTTACTTTCTCTAAATTATTTCCAACTATTTCTATTCTACCATTTGGCTCATCCGTAACTGGTTTTGGACAGAAAGGATGTGATCTCGACTTAGTGTGTCAAATCAACAACTCATGTAGAAGTGTAAGTGCAAGTTATAATGTGTTTGTGTCATCAAAAGCTGGTTTTAGTAAATTTCTTTTTCAGGAGATTTCATCAAATTTAGTATTTCATTCAAAACCTTACTCTTTTAACGAGAGACACGCACAAAAGGAATTTTTATCAATATTAGCCTCAGTAATACACAATTTTATTCCTGGTACTCAAAATATACAAAAAATTCTCGAAGCTCGTGTTCCCATAATTAAGTTTGTAAATATGTATACACATATGCAATGCGATCTTTGTGTCACCAATAAGTATGTATTGCATGCTGTTAGTCTCCTGTGTACTATAATTACATTTAAACCTACTAATTCTACAGGATTGCAATTCGTATGTCTGAAGTGCTATTTATGTATGGAGAAATGGATTGGCGGGTCAAACCACTCGTTTGCACAATCCGTAAATGGGCATACTGTAGAAAAATAACAAATCTTACACCAGGACGATGGATAACGAACTTCTCTCTTACCCTTTTAATAATATTTTATTTACAGAAGGAACGTGTATTGCCTCCCATGAATACCTTAAGTTTTGCAGGTACATATGAAAACAAATAATTCTTTTCTTCTTTGCCTTAGTAAATCAATACTCATATTTTTTTTTTTTAGTTGGACGGGACTTGGTTGGAAGAGAAAGATATGTAACTTCATTTATACAACAGGCAAACTTAAAAAAAAAAATGAACGAAGAGTCTGTGTCTATCCTTTTATATGGTTTTTTCGAATATTACGCAACCTTTAAATTTAGTTCGTGTGGAATATGCATCCAAGAAGGAAAGGAAAAGTCGAAACGAGAAAGTGCGCCCCTTTATATTTACAATCCATTTGAACCAACGTTAAATGTTAGCAGAAACGTTAATATGGATTCATTAAATTATGCAATTGTCCAATTCAAAAATGCATTGTCTATTTTGCAAAATGCGGAGACAGGTACTCTTCTGAATTTATTTGGATTGACTCAATTGTCAGCAATAAATAACAAAAATGTTGCTAAAATTAATAAAAACAATGAACTAAATAACAATGAAAACAACATGGAAACAACAAACGAAACTGATACGAATGAATCTAACAAAATAAAACAAATAATAAAATAATTGTAAACAAAACAAGCGTGTTATTGTATGTAGCATAGATTGTAAATACAATTGGCTTTTTTTACAATTCACGTGATTTGTAAATAAAAATAATTTTATTCCTTATACATTTCGTCAAAAGTAAATGTATCTTGCAATAATTACTGTATTTTCTTACTATTTCGTATTTGCTGTAATGTTTTGAACAGATATAAAAAGAAAAAGAGAAATAGAAAATTAATGCATTAAAATAAATATATGTATATTATCTTAATATTTTAATGCATTAGTTTTCTGTATACAGGGTGTTCGGCCACCCCTGGAAAAAATTTTAATGGGAGATTCTAGAGGCCAAAATAAGATTAAAATCAAGAATACCAATTTGTTGATTGAAACTTCGTTAAAAAGTTATTAACGTTTAAAGTTCCGCCTGCAGAACGGCAATCTGCGAACAACTGCATGCATGTATTAATGTTTATTATCAGCTTACAGTTTTGTGAGTGAGAACCACTATCATGCATATGCAGCTGCTCACAGGTTGCCGTTTTACAGGCGAAACTTTAAATGTTAATAACTTTTTAACGAGGCCTTTATCAACAAATTGATGTTCTTGATTTTCGTCTTATTTTGACCTCTAGAATCTCCCATTAAAATTTTTCCCAAGGGTGGCCGAACATATAAACCATTAACGTGATTTATGAACTCATTCTGTCTCCCGTTTGCAAATTTTGCTTATATAAATTATTAATAAAAAAAGATTATTAACCAGTAAACATAACTTCAAGAAGTTTTTTTAGTGTTATATGTATAATGCATACACGTGCAGAATTTTGGATTTCGAAATTTTCTGGAAAAAACATTAAGAAAGTAAATGACTAGTTAAAAAATGCATCACTTTGAATTGTTTCGTCCGCAAAGGGTTAAAAAAATTTGCTTTTATCATATGTGGTACAAGAATAAAAAGTAATTTTTGACACTTTTACTTCGCCACTTCGACAAATTTTGATAATAAGTTATAAACTGATTTTATAAATTATTGTCGCTTTTGAATATTTGTTTGACGAATTTATGCATTGAATTAAACCTCAAAAATATGAAATAAACCAATAGTATACATGCATACAGAGTGCGTTCGAATAACATGTACAAGTGGGAAATGTTTTAATTCACCTTATGAAAAAATAAGAAGAATATAAGGAATACCATTTTTTCATTTTCAGCTTTGTGTTCGAGATAATCAAGCTCGAAAATCGGTTTTGTGTTTTACATACTTACGATTAAGGTAGGATTCAACCAAGCAACATATGTTGTCTATAGCATATAATATGTATACGTATGTATGTACATATGTGCCTACATATACATATAATAATTTTCGTTACAGGCTCCCAATGCTAGGATCATATCAATGTTAGCGTCTTTCCACGAGAAGAAGGCACAGCGTGTTTACATCCCCACTCTTGCTGCAGTCCGCTGATTGGCTGTCACCATTTTCGACCAATACCTGTGAGTCAACGGACTGCAACAGAAGTGGGAATGTAAACACGGTGTGCTTTCTTCACGTGGAAGTACGGTACTTCCAATTTTTGAAAATCATTGTTCTGACAAATTATTTAGTGAAAACTGAGGATTCACGATGGACTGACGAGTTGATTAGTGTATCAAAAATTGTAGAACATTATTTACAAACACGATATTACGATATACGTCGCTCACTAAATCGTACCTTAGTACATAAAATGAAAAACTAATTTTCAAACTTGATTATTTCGAAAACAAACTGAAAATGAATAAATTTAATTTCTCATATTTTTCTTATTTTTTTTATAAGGAGTCTCCTCCCGCTCGCTTGTACATGTTATTCGGACGCACTCTTTACGTATTTTAATCAATTATTATACAGACAAAATTCATTGTTTTAATAAGGAAAGAATCAGAAGAAAACAAATAGTGCGTTTGTAACTTGTATATTTCTCTATTATCAGCAATTCGATAGTTCTCATACATGCTTAATCGTGTATATTAACTATAAATGTAACGTCCTTACGGTTCATACGAAGATCATGATTCCTTTAGTCGTTTAAAATGAACAATAACGATCGCGTTTAACTTTCATGAGGAACCTTCACATTTCGTAGCAGAAGTGTATATCTCCTGTGATTAAGTACGAAACGTTTAGACGAACATGCAATCGTTGGAGTATCGCAGACGATGAATCCCCGTGGAATTGTCGATTACGAATACGTTTGTAATTAGGCTATTCTTCCTCATGAGAGAGCATCATCGTTTAAATTCATAGTATGTATGTACTGTGGTTTGGTAGTGTTTTAATTCGCTAACATTTTTCTCCCTTTTTCTCTCGAAATTATTCGTTTGTCGAACAATGTTAGACGTCAAGTATATACCGTGTATAAATTATATTCGACCTCGAAGTTGTTACTATATATAAAGTTTAATTACAGCGAATCAGTTCGTTCGTTCGACTTTTATCTTTGTCGAAAGTTTTTTTTACGTAGACGCGCGGTTTGAGCAGGGTTGGAAATTTGTTTCCTTTCGTTTATTTTACGCAATAATCCGATCCGTGCCTCTGTGTTTACGCATGCACAGTTTATCGACAATTACGTGTTCGCACTAATCTAATTCGAGCCTCTAAGTGCATAAACCGTCACTTAAGGTCCTCGTCGATAATGCGTGCTCGCGCATCTCTTCGTTTTTATGTATAATTAGTTTCCTATTGGCAGCGATATATTGTGACCTTCGGCGCTTCAAAATGTAATAAAAAAGGTATTCAATAAAAAAAACAGAAAAGCGTCCTACGCTGAAGGCTGATGGCTGACCCTGAAGCAATTCCAGCCAGACACATGACGGGAGGAGTAACCTCGACGAATTTATTTCATAAGGCAATACGAACAGCTGAAAACTTAGCCTAGAATCGAGTAACAAAAAAAAACAGTGTTACAGTTTTCGTAAAAGTAACCATTAAAGGTACACTTCTCGAAGATGCTTTGTCAACGGCAGTTGTAACGACGAATAATTTCCCCGGTAATTGTGATCGTATCCGTCCGAGTAACGTACATATGTACATGATGCGAAATGCCCTTTTGATCATCGTCGTATCCGTATATCTCTAATAAAACGCTCAAAATATTAGAAAAGAATCGGTTTCTCATAATACCTTTTCTCGTAACAATATTCCTCTACTAATAACAATGTACTAATGATCGAAAGCTATAGTCCCTCGATAATACTTTCCCGAATGTATGCTAGGCGTTTGGAGGATTTTTAACTCCCTCCCAGACAGCCAAATGCAGTCGAGCCGAAATCTCTTGTTATCGTATGCCGTATAATGATTTTCTATACACAAGCTCTCAGCGTAACAGCTGTCAAATTCGCTAACTTCTTTCTAGTCATGATGACCCAATAAAAAATACTGAACGCGTTGAAGAAACATCCAATGTTACACCTATTGATTATCTGTGTTTGAACACTTCTGAAGAATACTCTTTGATTCTTCATCGCGGCTCTATTTCGAGCGAAAAGAACTTTAATTTAGTGATGTTAGTGAAGTTGTTATCGATGATTCAACAAAGGAAAAATGCCTGGAGGCCCTAGTCTTCAGTCTCTTGACTATCTGGGCTAATCTGAGTCTCTACAGAACCCGTTATTAACTTTATTATTTCAGTGATGACGGTGACGTTGCAATTCATGATCTAATAGAGGCGAGAGACTAATTGAGCTGGATATCTCTTCGAATTTTCACCGTGGCTCTACCTAATGCAAGAGTGAACTTAGTTAATCTTGCTGTATCAGTGATAACAATAATGATATTTATGAGTGAATAGAAGTGAAAGGTGTCATAGATACAGGTGGTACTTGGGGTGAACACCTTCGAAGGAAGTTCTTTGAAGTTACAGCTCTACCTAAAGCAAGAATGAGCTTGGATAGCCTTACTGTTTCAGTGATGACGGCGATGTTGCAATTGATAGCCTAACAGAGACAATTTCATGCATTGGAAACACCTGGTTTAAGATGCCTACGAATATGACATTTCCATTGATGGCTCGATAAAAATGAAACATGTTCGAGAGACATTTTTTGCCTGTTGGCTATCTGGGTTGGACACCTCTGAGCAAAGTTCTTAGCATCTTTACCGTGGCTCTACCTCGAAGAAGAGCAAGCGTAATTCGTCATCTTATGACGGTAACATTGCTATGAATAACTCAATAAAGGTAAAACACGTTAGAGGGGCACTTGTTCTTCTGCATATTGGCTATTTAGGCTGGACATTTCTGTAGGAAAATCTTTGAACCTCCATCGTAGTTTTGCCTCGAGCAAGATCTAGCTTAGTTTGTCTTGCTCTTCCGATGATGGCGATGATGGTGCATATGATAATGGTGCACTTGCGATCTGTTCTCCTGTACTGCTGCCACCAAAGTGCGTACTGCTTCCTCGTGTCCCTCGAAGCTGTCCGCTTTCTTCAACTGGCCAAGAGACGATGCAGCCCCGTCACTGGCCGCAGAACTATCACGTTTGCTCTTCAATCGTGGGAATGTTTCCCAGGAACGCTGCTTCTGCACCAGAGACGACGACTTTGGTGTAGGTCCGATCAAAACAACCAATGTTTTCCTGGGATCCTGCGCGGATTGACCTACCGTCTCATCGGCTATGCTTGATCGTCTGCTCCCAGAGCCGGTAGTGCTCAAGCTGTCGCAACTGGCTCGCCGACGTCTTCTGACTTCTGTTGATGCTTTCTCGTCTGCATAGAACACGTCCTCCGAGTCACTGGCTGGATACACTTTCACACCTTTGTTGGTAGGGATCGGTTGTTCGTCAGGTACTGCGTGCACCTGAGCTTGCACGCGCTTCTTGGCCTCCCCCATGCTCGACGCCTCCGAAATTCGTTGATACTCCCCTTCCTCACCTGCTAAAAGCACGCGAGTCGCTTAAGAGAAAAGGAGGATAAAACCTGACTGATGGAAAAGCTACATTACTTCATGCAACTTATGATAGACATTTGTAAGTTCTCATGTCTTGTTTTAGGCACAGTTTACTATACTTGAAGTCTGTTTTGTAAAAAAAACAAAAATATCCATAACCCCACATGGAACCTCTAGCTGCAAATTATTTTCATAGAAAATGTATTACAGTTCGATGTGTAGATATCCCATGTATTCTTAAAATCTGAGTTTTGTGGTTAGATCACTCGGAGGACCTATAATTTTGACGTAGTAGGCGGGAATACATAGAAGCATGGCTGACAAACAATTGAATTAGGCCAACGAGCATCATTCCTAATTTACTCCCTGTGCAAGGTGTTTGATCGTTTCGTATCACGTGGAAAAACAGTCAAACGTTGGATTTAATTGAACTGCGTTGCACGCACACTAATTAATTTAATTGCGATTCTAATGGTGTTTGATGAGAGGGATACTTCAATGATGCAGCTGCGTTGAACAAAGGCAATGTTTCGTTACACGCGCGACAAATTATTGACGTGTCCCATTAAATTCATTGAGTAAAATCGATAAAACCACCAACACTCGTGATGTTTACCAGTGTTTCGTCTGTTTTATCAATTTAATTAACTAGCTGCTGAATAACCCTTACTTGCACAGAAACGAACAAACAAATTGCACGCACGACGGTCCTGAATTGGGCGCGATACGAAATATAATAATTCTCGTATGCATTAATCAGGGTTTTATTTACATCGATTTATAATGCTATCTACATAATCCAGTGGAAGTCACCGCATCATCGGCAAATCCAAAGTCCGTCTCGTGATTCGTCCCAGGCATACCTGTCCTTGCTACCAATGCTATTTACTCGTGCACGCGATCCTCACGGATTTGATCTTACCAGTCATGTGTGACTGTGGTTGCTGGGCGTCTGTGCATCTTTCCGGTTGATCAAGCCCCTCGGCGGACGCGTCGCCGCTGCCATCCTTTAAACAGCGGTACAGAGAGCGTACTTTGCTGGCTGATGAGTGACCCGGCGGTGTCTTGGGCTTCGAACCGTCCGGAGACTTTCTGGATCGTCGACTCTGACTCCGATCGCGACTTTCCTCTCTACCCGGGGACTTCTTGCGATCCTCCTTAGTCCTAGCTTTCTCTAGTAATTGGCTGAGGACTCCCCTCTTTGAGTCGGTTGATTTAGTAGTTCCGTAGACAACGATGTTTCCACTGGAGTCAAAAACGGCTTCAATACCACTGGGTGTGCGACAACGTGTTGGCACCTCTTTCGTTTCTGTATAGAAAACCCACGCGTGTTTTATGGATATATTAAATTGTCGCTACGTTAAAGTATTTACCTTTCATGTAAAGTGCATTATCGGCACTGGTAGCAGTGGCACGCGAGTGTCGATGATCTTTTGTCGGTGCTTGAGTCTGCGGTTGTTGCGGTGGTTCTTGCATTTGTAAGCATGCCAAATGATCCAACAACAGTTGCAGACCTTGATTACCTGCCGCATCCGAGGCTGCCATATTCACTTCACCGGCTGTGACCCCAGTCGAAAAGGATTTTACAAATGGTTCCAATTGCTGGGCGAGGTTCTGCAACTGCTTTACTTGATTCCTTAATGACAGAATGTCGCTCATCTACACAGAAATCGAAGTTACAGATTGTAGTATCGCCAGAATAAGGATAACGTTTCGGGGCCAATTACTACAGTACCTGAGAATGAAAAATCTCTTTCTCTATGCGAATTCTACACAACTGCTCATCCCACAAAGCGTCGAAGACGTTTCTAAGCCGTTCCAATTCCAGCTGATGATGCTCTAACTGTCGCTCTAGGAACCGGCAATCTTTAGCTACGTTCTCGTAACGCATCCCTAACGGAGGAGTGTTCGCTCTTCTCAACAGAGCCACGTCACGATGAAGCTCCTCCAAACGTTCCTTCACGATGAGCAACTGTTGATTTAATTCTTTCAGTTGAGTATCAAATGCTCGGCAGTGATTAGAAAATGGTCCACAATCGGTTCCGCCCTTCGTCGGGATCTTTTGTGCAGTCTTGCTGCTCTGCTTGAGAAACAAAAAGTGTCTCAAATAATTGCTGATCGTGCTTGTTGGAGGTTGTGTTACGCGAATTCAAATAGACTTTCTGATACTGACTACCACATCCGGCTAAGAAACTAGCGAGGAACAAAAGTTCTGTATCTGGCGAGTGGCCAGTTGTGCTACGAGAATATAATCACTGTCTAATTTGACTACTAGACTACTACCATACGATTAAGTACAAGCCACATCATATATCGAGAGTAAAATCCTGTCAACAAAAATACTTACACAGAAGTGTGCGCGAGAAATGCAGTGAAAAAGAAACTTGTAATATGAACGTAAAGATAGAGAAGTTTATAATCGAGAGAAGTTAGCCATAGGTATATATGTACATAAGTAGCTACCTGAATCACTGGCGGTTCCTGTTGTTGACCTGTCGCGTGAGTTTGATCATACAGCGACTCTTTCGGTACCTGCGCATGACCTATATATGGCTGCAGCGTTCTGGCAAATTCGCTCTTGTAGTTTGTCTTTAGATGAGCGGTCATTAAAGGCGGCCTCGAGGGATGTCCCAACTGGGCAACGCGACCCAAACGCTCCAGCATCGGATGGGCTAGCTCGAGAAATTGATATTTCGTTGCGCCGCTGGTGAAAGCGGTGCACAACATCAAATGCATCTGTAGTACTGGATGCGCACTACCTAGAGAAAGCAGTTGGCTACGGATCATCCTCTCCTCAGTCTGGTACTGACGTTGCAGTTCCGTCAGAACGTTGCCCTGGGTCTTTGTAATTGTTTGCTGCATTCCTTGGCAGAATGAGTTCAGTGCCCTTTTCTCCGAGTCCAGACTGTGCCGTAGTTCATCCAGCTGAGATTTCAGAGCCTGCACTCCATCTCGTACGCCGGCCTGCAGCTCGCAAATCGAATTGACCACTCGTTCCATTTTCTTAGACGCTTGCTGCCAAGCGGTCTCGATGTCCACGCAATGGAGCCTCGCTTCCGTCGGAGTGTCGCGGAAACAGGTAGCGCAGAGCATACATTTGGCACTCTGGCTGTACATTATATATTGTTCTCCATGAGTCGAACAACGACGTTGGGTATCTTTGGCGCATTTGCTCATGTGTACCACCTCGTGCGTGGAAAACATCTTTGCACTGTGAGTGTGCTCTCTGCAGTGTTTACATAGTGCTTGTCCTATGTTTGAATATTTTACAGTAAAAAAAGTAATTCCCAATATTATTCTTTATAATGGATGTTACTTTGTAGTTATAGTTGAGAATCTTTGATACGTACCACATGTTGTACAAAAGAACATGGTAGACTTGTCACGCTTATCGCAGTTGGCACATGGTGGATTCTCAGAGTTTGCCAACTCAACTAGCTGACGTATCAGCTGATCGGGGGGTGGTAGTTGTGCCCCATCTTTTAGCTGTGTCTGTTGCCTAGATATAGTAATGTATTTTAGACTCAAAAAAGTTCAAACGAATTAAAAGTATTCAAGATGGAATGCATTGGAAGAGATCCTTTGTACATTGCATAAACGAAAATTCAGAAATTAGAAAAGTAGATTCCAACAGAAACAATATGTAAAAACAAAAAGTGTACAGTAAGAATAAAGTTATAGTAAAAATAAAAAAATTCTTGCATAATGATCTATAAACTACACGCATTACAGGCTATTGAAATAGTGTGTTCCTAATAGATGTTTGCAGTCGAACAAGAGACAACAATTTTTGTAAACAATAAAATAGATGTATTTACTAATTTCTGCATATATGTGACACATGATGAATTTCAGATATTGTTCAAAGACAGGAATATTAACACGATAAACATATGCATAAAAAAGCATTAAATGGTTACTATTATTAGGTGCAAAACAGACTAAATGAAATAGAGTGTGAAATCAATTGAATAAAATATAGCGTGAAGCTGATTAAATGAACTATAGCATAGAACAGGAAAAATATGATGACTAAGGATTCTCATAAAAATAAAGTATACAGGATGGTGCTTTAAAAATATAACATCAATGTTTATACGATGTTTCTACATCAGTACGATTCATAGAATAGCTGTCACACTTGGAGCAAACGCTTGAAGTACAACTTTATGATGCACATGCGACGAATAGAATTTATAAAGAATGGAATTAGTAGAAGAAATGATACGATGCAGATATTAGCCAAACCTAACCCAAATTTGGGATCACCACCCACCCTAAGGACGCCATGCAATAACAGTCGTTGTTATCTACCCGCAGATGGAGCAGGTGACCTTTCCATCAAGGTGAGGACCACAGATGCAGCGGGCACAAAAGGTGTGAAAACAGGATAGCAGACAAGGCTCATTGTAATAGTCGTGGCAAACACTGCAGATGAGAGGATTCCTAGGCCCGGCACTAGATACACCTGTCGTGGCATCGTTTTCGCCGACACCGACACCGTCGACTGTCGATCCCGAGCTCGCCATCGTCGGCCAAACCAACGGCGGCCACCTGGAAACCAGAATCCAGAGAACGCGCTTCAGCAACCGTCTGACCTGGACACTCCTCGACATTCTCGATGTTTCACGTTTCACACGGTCGCATTGCACGCGTTACTGAAAGAAACTTGAGCGAGGCACAAACAATTTGACAATGACTGTTTACCCCAAGACCGTTGGCCCGCCCGCCACAGAAACCCTGATGGGTAGTTTATCGGCTCGTCATTCTAACGTAGTTTGGTGGGCAACCTCGTTTGCGCCTGACGATCGGCTCTGACGTCACTGAGGTGTCACCAAGCTCACCCACGTCCACGCTGGGTGGTACGTACACACAGAGAAAAGAGGACGGGCTGCTGCTGGTACTGCTGCACGCGGTTCCGTGTAGGGGTGCGCGCAGAGCCCGTATACACAGGGGTGGTCTGACGTAAGCGCAAGACCGTGGTCGTGAGCGTACGTGCTCTCGCTGTTAGCGATGGGTATTTAATCTCCCTTACGAATTTTAGAACAATTTTATCACCCCAATCAGTCCATATCGTTTTGAGCAGTGAATCAAATGGTTTTCAAAATAACTCTTTCAAACTGTTATCATATCAATTATAAATTAAAGCAGTTATAAGAATCAAAACAATATAACTATTATATTGATTCTAGTCTCTTTCGATTTCGGTTACGATTCTTCGGAACCGATATTATATTGGTTCTATAATTGTTATTTTTCCGTTCTGCGTCTGCATATTCTGAATTTGTGAAAATGACACATTGTATGCAGAACACGTACTAATACATATTTGATGTCAAGTGTCAAAAGTTTGATAGCACCAACAAAAATGTTCATTTTTATTACAACGTACCTATTATAGATATAATGTTGAATCGTAATCCAAACCGAAAAATAACATTTTTTTGGTTCTTATAACGTATCAAGAACTGAAAGTGATATTAAAACTGTTTTCAACCCTTAATTTCAAGGACGAAATCAATATTGCAATCTTCAGTCGAACCTCATTTATTCGGCCCGAACGGCGGACAATACAATTCGGATAGCTAAGATAGTTGTTCGGTTAATAGAGGTCCACTAGGATCAAGCACACATGGATAGTTTTAAACGCAGTCAGAATCGAATAATCTTAATTTAGAATACCCAACTTGCTTACAGAAAATTGAAAATTTAAAGATTTTGAACAAAATTTAATTATTTTTATTCACACAAATTAATTATATTATTTATTATTTTTCAATTTTTCATTTTACGGATAGGCTTTAAATGTATTAACAGTGTTTGTAACACCTAAATTGTGTCTAATTATAATCTACGAACGCTTGAAGGACCACAGGCTCGTAAAAAGAATTAACAGACACAAGGATACAATATTTTTCGGACGCATCGCTTTGATACCATATTAATTAGAGATAATAATTATTTAAACAAAACGATATTTCATCAAATTTTTTATGTAAAATTGAATTTTCTTCATGATTTATTTGAAACATTGTTTAAATTATTTACAAATAACGAATATATCTAAACAAAAATATACAAAAGTTAACTATCATTATCCATGATATTTTATATTTAAATATAAAATGTTTGTCAATAGGTTTAACAATGTAATATTGTACATACATATGTATATTTAAGTTTATTTATATAATTATTTAACTGAGTGAAATTTTCATTAAACTTTTGACAAATATGAAGTTATAGATTTTTGTTTAATAATAATATCTTTTCTTCTTTTTTGTTACGTTCCATAGCTGTCTTAAGAAGAAAACATGTTTCTCTACCGTAAAGCTCAAAGCACCTTAGATAATACGGAATCTCCGTCAAACGGGACTCGGATAACCAAGACTTTAATGTTTATAGATCAGTAAATAAAAACGAAGTATATTCTACTACAGTTGGATAGAAAAAATGCTTCTTGTAATACTTTATACTTATAAAAAACACTCATTAGGACTAGAAAATAGTTGAAACTTTATGTACAATTTTATCGGCATTATTTTGTACTTAAAGTATATTCACTATTTTTCATTCTACTTCAATCAAAAGTAATAGAATATAGCAAATTCAATTAGATTTTTTCATTTGCAATGAGATAATTTTACTTGACTACCAAATAGTGACACTTTTTTAATGTTATTCTACGAAAAAAATAATTTCTTATTAAATCGTATTAAATAATTTTTAAGAAAAGCCATGCGAGTCCGTTAATTTTTCTTCGAATTTAATTTTCTGCGTGTAAACAACATATAAAAAAGTTTAAACAAAAGAAAGATGAAACCATTTAAATTTAATAGACTTTTTATAAATATAAATATACTTTTTTTTAAAAACACGTTTAAAATACAAGGTATTCATACTACCGGTAATCCTTTTAGAGGATAACTCTACTGTCCAAAGTAAGATGAAAAACAATATCGAAATTGTGATAAAGTCTATTAGAGGAAAATAGAGAAGTTCATTTTACTTCTTTATGTGTAATTAAACAATCCTTTTTAAGATTTGTTTAAAGTACTTATTAATATGTATACAAATCACAAATATATATCAGAAAATCCAAAAAAATTCAAGAGATAACCATCCTTATCCATGAACCGATTTTACTAAAAATCTAATCAGATTTTAATTATGCTATTGAGTAACGCACATAACAACAAATATTTTTTTGAATAGTCAAAACATTATCAAAGTATTTTAAAATGTGTTTTATCGTAGCAAAAAATTTTTTTGAAAATCTTGATTGCAATACCCTTCCTTATAGGTCGAAAAATAAAAGAACCTCGGAACATTATTTCGTTATTTTAGTCTATAGAATTAGCCCTTAAAGGAATTATATTAAAAAAGTAATAATTTAATTCTACTTGGGTAGCTCGTCAAGAGTTATTCTTTATCGAGGAGTTCCGCGAAAAGTTAAAGTTTGAGAAATTATTGCATTGGAGAGATAGAGACTGCTTGGATGTTTAAACTCGCAAACCTTTAAAGTCTAGACAATATTATAATTGTCTAACAGTATTCTCTGCACTGTTCGTTGATTTACGTCTGACAGGTTTCCTGAAACTAAGAAACATAGCTACGTTTCAGGGACAGTGATACATAACGTGACAATGTTAATGAACATGCAAATCAGAATGTAATTCCCTTTCTGTAGAAGTAAAAGATTATAGCAACGCGTAATCGTTAAAGCAGCGTCGGATTTGAACGTTTCCAGCCCGAAGGTTCAAGAATCGTCTAAAAATCGAAGGTTCCACCGATATCTTGAATTTTAAAGAAAGTTTGTAATTCCTGCGTCCGTTCCAGACGATCCAAAAAGCGTTCGAGGCCATCGCTAGCAGCTGGTTGTGCTTGTAGTTGTACCACGGGCTAGGATCTATGTGCGTGAGAGCAGCGCCCCAACGTCCTCACTCCGCAGCACCTCAGTCACCCCGTTTTCTGCACTCCTGCAGGGATCTATATGCTCGATAAATACACATCCAACCTGCTAACGTGTACATGTGCGAGCGATCGCTGCTAGTCCCGAGACGAACGTTTCCTACACAAAACAGAAAGAGCGAGACGGGTATCACCGCGTCTATAAAGCATAAAAAAAAAATGGAGAAAGAGGAAGAGGAATTATGCATATTCTATATCTGGCATTTTTTCATTTCACGGTATTCGTCGACCGATATCAATCGTACAATATCGACGAAACGAAATACTAAATTTTCTCGAGTCCTTCTTTCCCGTCTCTCGTCTCGTCCCAAACAGAGGGGTTCGCCTTTTTAACCTACAAAAGAGGATGCCTGGGCTGGTGGCTGTTTAGTACGCTAACCCCTTCTCGAAATTTTTTCTTTCTATCCGCAGCGCGGCCTGACGATTATCGACGATGTCGCTCCCTCTTTTTCTCTCTTTCATCTGTAATTTCCATCAGACTAGACTTTATTTGATCGTTCCGCTTGAATTCCAGGATTTATTTGTCTGCAACAATACCTGGTCTGCAAGAGAAGCGGAGGAGGAGACACTTATCCAGAGGCGTTCCTAGGTTAATTGCCGCCCCGATGCATTCTCGAAGGACAAAATTTTAAATCGTTTATTCTTTGCCTGCACATGTATCACTTGCTTGTGGAACTTTTATAAAAACTTAAACATTATAAATTTATAGAAAATTTTATAGTGTTTTGACTGGTAACAGCCAAATTTAAAATATAAGAACGGTTTAGAAAATATTTATTATTTTTACCGAGGTCCTCATTTTCTATGTATATCAAATTCATAATGCTTGTAAAATGGAATACTATGTGTGCTTAATATACATAGAATGGTATAGTGTGTCGAAATTACACTTTTAAGAAAGCAATATATGATATCATTATTCATAAAAAAATATAATTTATTATTTATGCAATATAAAAAAAATTAGTCAGAATTAATTAATATTTATATTAAATTAACAACCTTTTGCTTTCATTTGTTTATTTATGTTTAGAGCAAATAAACATCTTACTGTTATTCTAGGAATCAAGTAAATCTTGTAAGTTAGACGACACCTAACTAACAGAAAATATGTTTATGTAATCAAAACGAAATCAGAAGTACACGTATCCTAATATGAAATATTATTACCTATTTCATAGGTATTAGGCTTAAATTTGTAGAAATTCAAGTTTTCGAGATAGAAATTCATAATTTAGACAATTGTTGTAAAAATTTGACCATATTCGAAGAAATAATCGAGTTAACATAAAGCTGATGCATAATATTAGATCAAAAATCACCTTGCAAAGGTGAAATTCGAGTATATGCACGCTAATTGAAACAAATAACAATTGTAATCGATAGCAATATCACTATTTTTTAATATTATGATGGTTATGATATTTCCATTTTGTCCGAAAATGATGGAAAAGTTATAAAAGATGCATCACATACACACTTATCTATCATAAATTGTGAAAAAAAAAGAATTATTTTACATGTCATTTTAAACGTATTTATTTTTATAAGGTCAGAAGTTCTGCAGTCGAACATCAAAAAGAGAGAGAGCGTATACATACAGAGTGAATCATTTAATTTTTTCACCTTAATTTTTCTTGTAAACTACATGTTATAGCATACACGGCAACAATTAATTTTATGCTATTTTCCTTTTTTATCAAAATACGAAAGTAGCCTTGAGTTTTTTAATTATTGTGAAGAGCATTTAATCATGTCATTCGAAAGTTTATCGAACACAAAATAAAAAGTTACTAAGATACATGGGGTTGAAAATTAATATTTATCAAAATATTCTTTAGTTGAGTTAAATATTGAAACTGAGACAAGCATTATGTGGAAGTGGAATCCACCATCTTTCACTGAAGTATATCTCGATAAATATTGATTTCTGATCCCATGTACCTTAATAATCTTTTAATCTGTATTCAATAGACTTTCGAACGACATAATTAAAAGTTACATATTATAGTTAAAAAATTCAAGGTGACCTTCATATTTTAATAAAAATGGAAAATAATAAGAAATGAATTGTTGTGTATGCTTCTCTTTATACCAAACAACTTTCATCGAAACATTTTTTTATACAACATGTAGTTTACAAGAAAAATTAAAGTGGAAGAGTTAAATGACTATCCCTGTTGATATGTTACCGATGCACTGATGTGGTATCGATGCCAAATCATCAGATCATTAAATTTTGATACTGTACTATTAAATATGCGGCAAACAGTGTCAACGTGTGATCATTAGTCGGGTACCGTGCAGTTGCCGTACTGTAAAGTGGGCGACGTCCTTTATACTGAAACAAAGTTTTTTGAAACATCCACGTGCATTACTTTTACACGATTAATAAAACATATACTTTGATTACAATGTCTAAACAAAATTTAGAAATTTTCCATAAAAGAGCAGCTGCAGCGGTAAATTATATTACTGATTTATAGTTACTGCATTAATACTCAGTTCTAAGATGTAATTTCGTAGTAAATGACACATATAGGTTATAATTTTCGTATCCATTTTGTATACAGGAAGAAGAAATAGCTTTTTTGAAGCAAGAAATCGAATTTCTACGAGAAAATATTACAACTAATAACTCCAAAATACATTCTGTAACTAAAGATGAATACATGAAATTAGAACAAGAAAATATAAAATTAAAGCATAGAGTAGCTATTTTGAAAAGGGTATGCTTCACAAAAATCTACTGTTTCTTTACTGTTCAGTTTAGCTGTATTTTCAATTACATGTTTTTCGTGTTTCTATTCCTTTTAAACAGACTATCGAAGCTGATAGAGCAAAAACACAAAGCGGAATGATAACTACTGCATGTAATGTCACCAGTGTATATACTACTTTATTTGAATTATTTGAAAATGCTATTTCTACTGCATATCCAGATGTTCCTAATCCTCCAGTGATTATAACATATAGCAATAATTCAAAATTTGGGGATTACCAATGTAACAGTGCTATGCCGCTTGCTAAACAACTTAGCAGTAATGGTAAGAGTCAACATTAATATAAATAAGAGTTTGTGTCATGTAAAGTATTGTTCATATTAATAAATATATTTTATGTACCTGTACAGGAATTAAAAAATCTCCACAAGATATTGCAAAAAGTATAATGTCACAAGTAAAAGAATCTGATTTAATTTCTAAATTGGACGTCGCAAATGCTGGTTATATAAATATATATTTAAAACGAGAATTTGCGCAGACAATGTTGAGTGACTTAGTAAAACTTGGAAAAGTATGCCCACCACATACAAAGAAACAAAGAATTATCGTAGACTTTTCTAGTCCTAACATTGCAAAAGAAATGCATGTTGGACATTTAAGATCCACTATAATTGGTGATAGTATTGCAAGACTCTTAGAATTTTTAGGGCATGATGTACTTAGAATAAATCATGTTGGTGACTGGGGCACCCAATTTGGAATGTTAATAGCTCATCTTCAGGATAGGTTTTCTGATTATTTAACTACATGTCCACCTATTACAGATCTTCAGGTAATTTAATATAATTCAGTATCTTTCTATTATATCCATTATATAAATCTTAGTTCTATAAATATAATTCTATTAATTGAACATTTTAAACATTATAGAGTTTTTATAAAGAAGCAAAGGAAAGGTTTGATAAAGACAAAGAATTTAAAAAACGTGCATACAATTGTGTTGTCAAGTTACAAGCATTTGATCCTGATATGATAAAAGCATGGCAATTAATTTGTGATGTCTCTAGGAAAGGTAAAGTTGTCTGCGTTATTTAAATTAAAATTATAAAAAAATAGCATTATTATACTTTTCTTCTATTTTCTAAATATAGAATTCCAAAAGGTATACGATCGATTGAACATTAATTTAATAGAAAGAGGTGAATCTTTTTATCAGAAACATATGGAAGCTGTAGTCAAAGAATTAGATGAAAGAGGACTATTAGAAGACGACGAAGGCCGAAAAGTAATGTGGGGCAAGGATGGCAATGGTATACCTTTAACTATTGTAAAATCTGATGGTGGTTTTACATATGATACTTCAGATGTGGCAGCACTTAGACAACGACTAGAAGATGAAAAAGCTAGTTGGGTAATTCATTTTAATTTTATATTATATTTTGCGAAGTATTTTTCTGTTATTTCATGATTTATTGCAATTTTTATAGATAATATATGTAACAGATGCTGGCCAATCTCAGCATTTTCAAGTATTAAGAAGCTGTGCTGAACGAGTAGGAATTTTAAAAAATTGTCATCGAATAGACCATGTTGGATTTGGTGTAGTTCTTGGTCAAGATAAAAAGAAATTTAAGACTAGATCTGGTGATACAGTGAAATTAAATGATTTATTAGATGAAGGTAATGTATTAAATACTATTAAGTGTAATATTGTAATTGATAAATTTTTAAATATGTTATTTCTTACATAAGGTTTAAAAAGGGCACTCCAAAAATTAAAAGATAGAGAACGTGACAAAGTACTTACGGAAGAGGAGTTGAAATTGGCTCAAGAATCTATTGCTTATGGATGTATAAAGTATGCGGATTTGTCGCATAACAGGAATCACGAATATGTATTTTCTTTTGATAAAATGCTTGAAGATAAAGGGAACACTGCAGTGTATTTACTATATGCTTTAACTAGAATATACTCTATTGCAAGGGCGGCTAATATCTCGCGAGAGAAATTACAAGAACTTGCACAAAATACTCCAATTTCATTGAAGCATGAGAAGGAATGGAAATTAGCTAAAGCATTAATAAAGTTTCCTGACGTACTAATTAAAATTACGGAAGATTTGTATCTGCATCAATTATGCGAATATTGTTATGATATCGCATGCACATTCACAGAATTTTACGATAATTGTTATTGCGTTGAAAAGAACAAACTTGGAGAAGTAGTGAATGTAAATATGGGACGTATGTTATTGACAGAAGCTACTGCAATTATAATGGAAAAATGCTTTTCAATATTGGGTCTAAAACCAGTTGCGCGTATGTGAATATATTTATACAAACATATAATGTAAAGTAACAATAAAAAAATACATTCTTTATAAGGAATTGAAAAATAAAAGTGTATTGTTTTACTGTTCGTTAAGATGTTTATTAAACAGTATTTTCCTATTCTTTATTTAAATTGTTTCTATTGTTTTTGAAACTTCAAAAATAACAATTTTTTTTTGTTTTTATTTAACGTCACATTGACATCAGGATCTGTCCAAGAGATATTTCATTGCCTTTGAACAGAATACTGCTAGTGGAGCAGGTTCAATAAACACCTGTAGCGTTTCTCAGTGCCATGAGTTGTATTAGGTCTATTTTTGAATGTATTATTGTTATTTGTTTTATGTGGGGGAAATTTTCTAAAGACATCCTGGCTCTCCCTGGGTTCACCTCATACAGAATAAACAGGTACGGAACTTATCCACTAAAATCCCCACGGTGACCTTCCGCGCGCGTTGTTTTGTTGTTGTTTCCAAGCTTTTTAAATAATGATCAATATTTTTATGCAGATTTCTTTTAGGAGTTTTATGTGATGAGACTAAATTAATTTAGTGTCGAAATTGTTTTCTTCGGTTTCAAGGAAGTAGATTTTGTTGTATGTGTAGCTGTCATTTATTTGTTTAATTTTTTTCCAAATATCTTTGGCAAGAGTTTGGGGGTAAGTGAGAATGTGCATTCTCTCCATGAGTTTTTTACTTTCTCTGATTATTCTACAGGATTTTACTCTTATTGTTAGTTTCTCTTAAGATGTTTTTTGGCTTGATTAAAGATATGGTAGCTTTCTCATAGTTTGACATTCTGTATTCAACCAGGGTACAGTTTGTTTTTGGTCTCTTGTGTGTGTTGTAGTCCCAAAATGTCTTTCTACTGCAGTTTTGATAATATTTACGAATTCTTTAGTAATTTCGTTTATCTTGTTTGGGTTTAATTCGTTATTTGTTTCTACTTTTTTTAGTGTGTTATAATGGATTGGTATAATAGACACTCTTTGGATGTTCCATTTTGGTTGGCAGAGTGGTGCTGGAGGAGAGGTGTTTTTGCAATAATATAAAAACAATTTTTGTATATATAATAGAAAAAATAAATATTTATACTCTATGAGAATATATTTTTCCTTTTGCAATATTTAATTGACATTACATCATTATTTGTTATTATTTTTATTAATTTATTTCATCATCTTTATGAAGTCACCTGTATGCGTATCAGAGATGCCAGAAAAGCACCGCCGGGTGCACACGCACACATGCCAGATACGCGTACGTGAGCTCGTGGAGTTTCGGAAAGTCGACAAAGGCAAACTGACGCATGCCCTCTTTCTCGATTCTCCGAAGCTGCCCGAAGTAATTTCGGATCGCCTCGTGGGAGTCGAGAGAGCAAGGCTCACATTTGCCTTCTCGCTCTAAACAACTGAAATCCGACCTCCCGTCAACGGCATACGATTTGGATTCTCGACTGGCCAGGCATTTTTACTTTCCGACCTATGTAGGCGCACATAAGCAAAGTACCCATAATGAAAAAAAAATTTTGTAAAATTTATTTTACGGAAATACACGTTTTAAGACCTCCTGATCATATTTTAATTATTGAAAAAAAAGAAATTTTTTTTTATTCCCATGTATGAGCACACATGTATATTATTAATACGATTGAATATAAATAGCTGAATGAATTTAAATGAAACTTTACATTTAAGTTTTATGTTCTCATTTCAAAGGCGTGTGGACGGATTCAAATACGTGAACACTAAACGTAACGATGTAATTATATTATTTAATATTTACTAACTATTTAACATAAAGAACATAAAAGAAAGACATAAAACGTAAACGTAAAAGATCATAAACGTAAAACTGTGATTGCTCTCGACTAACGTTCGATACAGAGTGACGTTCCTGCAGTCAAAGTCGACCCTTCCTTATTCCTATCTTATAATAATGATCTAAACAAAACGCACGTTCGAGACGCAGTCTCTAAAACGTATTTCAGCTTAAACCTAAACACCTCACTCGATACCTACTCTAGCTTAGACTAAACACTCCTATCGACGCAAACGATAACGGTTCTCCTAGCCACGCATACACTCCTTACAGATTATACCTCTTGTTTCATAGTTGTTCCGATATATAGGCATAATGTATAAAAAATCTTTTAAATGTTTCATATAAATCTTAGGACGAATTAAATTTTATATAAAAAAAATTATATAAACTTTTTCTCTATCTTCTCTAGAAAAGAAAACATTAAATGAAATCTTATACATTACATGCTTACTTAAATCGCATTGAAAACGAATACCACAAATGTTTTAGAATAATGTGCAAAATGTGATTGCGATTTTCGCTAAGACAAATTGAAAACTCGTTTCTAACAAGGAAAAGTTGGAATGGTACCAGGTTTTGGGTTAGGTTTTACTTTGAGATATTATTAAAGTTATTACAGGTACTTATTTTCAGAAATAGAACTATGTTCACCACTAGTTAACGTGTCGTGAGTGATGAGGTCTTTGCCTGCAAGTTCCGAACTTCTTCTGCTCTGCTGGTTCGAACCCTGCTTGAACTTTTTTTTTATTTTTCAATCATACTTTAATCGTACACTAAATATGACATTATATTTTTGTCTGACCTTCGAATATTTTTTTTTAAAGTTAAATTTAACCGATTACATTTAACATATGTTATTTTCAATGTACGAAGTACATGAATCTGGATGGTACTTTTCACAAAAACAGTCAAAACATAAAAATTTCAAGCACCACGTACATTTACTGAAAGTTTTGTTTTCACAGAAATTACAAAATTTTGTATTTAACTCTGATGGAAAGGCCGCTTCATTTACATTGATAAAATGTGAACGATTTTCGGATAGTCGTACCTTGTAGCTCGTACTTTTTACCTTATACTTCAGGTAAAAAGGGATATAGCTGGGAAAAACAGTTTTATGACATTACCTGCTAACTTATGTTACTGTTCTACAATGAAACGCTATGTTTTGTACCTTTAAAAATATTCGACTATGTGCTTTTAAAATTTAAGATACAACCCATACTTTGTATTAAACTGGCAAACGGGATCACTTTTCCTTTGTTTCTAGTTAGTTCTATTTAGTTCGTCATAACCAATTGATACGGTTATTTCAAAACAATCGAGGAAAATCATTATTAATTAATTTCTGCAATTATTAATTCTACTGTTTTGTTTATGTTATAAAAGTAAGAACTCTTCTTATTGAAAAATATCACAGCGTGCACAATACTGGTAAAGAGTGGAATCTCATTTTAATTTATTAATTTTCAATCTTAAAGTATTTTGATTTTCAAAAATCGTATTAATAATATACATATGTGTGCTCATACATGGGAATAAAAAAAAATGTCTTTTTTTTCAATAATTAAAATATGATCAGGAGGTCTTAAAACGTGTATTTCCGTAAAATAAATTTTACAAAATTTTTTTTTCATTATGGGTACTTTGCTTATGTGCGCCTACATAGGTCGGAAAGTAAAAATGCCTGGGCAGTCGAGAATCTCGGCTCGAGAATCCAAGTCGTATGCCGTTGACGGGAGGTCGGATTTCAGTTGTTTAGAGCGAGAAGGCAAATGTGAGCCTTGCTCTCTCGACTCCCACGAGGCGATCCGAAATTACTTCGGGCAGCTTCGGAGAATCGAGAAAGAGGGCATGCGTCAGTTTGCCTTTGTCGACTTTCCGAAACTCCACGAGCTCACGTACGCGTATCTGGCATGTGTGCGTGTGCACCCGGCGGTGCTTTTCTGGCATCTCTGATGCGTATACTACTTACGGTGACACAGGCTGTGATTCACACTAATTCACAGTATATTTGTGTGGTTCTGTACCCTGCCTATTAGTGTGCTCCGCGTGTTCGTTAGATGAACAGTAATATTTATAATATCTAGTTAGCTTATGGCCTGTCGTTACTAACAAAATGGTTATTAGTAATATTATTTTTTTCTTCAAAATAGTAATTGTTATTTATCAGTCCATTATGAAAATTTATATTAGAATCAAAAAATAACGTAAATAACCTTTATACCGGCAAATGTAATAACTGCAAAGTTCAAATATGTTTTCAGTTATTCGCTTTCAATATTTGTTTTAAATACGGAAATATATTTTATTAGAATCATTAGTCTGTTTGAATGACACCTAATGTCAAGCACTCTTCTAACGTAAATAAATTTTTGACAAAATTACAATTTTTTTGAAAATATGTTATACCAGTTTTATAAACTTAAAATTAATTAATAAATAAGACTAATTATTTTTACACATTATTGTACACATTCAAAGCAAAATGTTATTTAAGAATAAAATGAATACTACATGAATTATTATTAATAGGTAACTATTGAAAGAAAAGGGACATTTAAAGTGGAATATTTACAAAATATTGAAAAAGAAATACAAGCAAAATGGGAAGCTGATAAAGTATATGAGGAAGATGCACCTTTAGAATGTAGAAAATCTCCAAAGGCAAAGTTCTTTGTAACTTTTCCTTTTCCTTACATGAATGGAAGACTTCATCTTGGTCATACATTTTCGTTATCGAAATGTGAGGTGAGTACGTAACACTTTATCTACTGGTAGTGATTGAGGTTGCCACTTAGTAAGGACCGGTTTAGTTGTAAACCTAACAAACTTAACAGTAAATCCCATTGGACAAAAACTGTCGACAACCAAAAGCTTATTAATAGGCTACTGGTCGATGAGCATTGACAATCAAAAAGCCGATTAATAGGCTATTGGTCGATAAGCATTGGCAATTGAAAAGCCGATTAATAGGCTACTGGTCGATAAGCATTGGCAATTGAAAAGCCGATTAACAGGCTACTGGTCAATAAAGTGTTAATAAAAACATGTAAAAAACAAAATATTTAATATAATTCTTACATCAAAATTGAATTCAATTATATCTGTTTGATAATTTTGCAGTTTGCTGTGCGTTACAATCGTCTTCTAGGAAAAAAGGTCCTTTTTCCATTTGGATTTCATTGCACGGGTATGCCCATCAAAGCATGTGCAGATAAATTGAAACGAGAAATGGAGTTATATGGTTATCCACCACAATTTCCTGAAGATGAAAAAGCAGATGAAGAAATCATAGATGATATTGTAATAAAAGATAAAAGCAAAGGAACAAAGGTAATATAAAGACATATATACAGGGTGTTTATATGTTTCATATTTTAGTAAATAAACGATTTTAGAGTAAAGCAGTTGCAAAAACAGCTAGTGCAAAATATCAATGGCAAATTATGCAATCGCTTGGCATAGAACACGAAGATATAAAAAATTTTGCCGATGCTGAATATTGGTTGAACTACTTCCCACCTCTTGCTGTCCAAGATTTAAAGTTGATTGGATTACATGTAAGTTAAACAGATCATTTGTATTTTGGTAACATATATACATACAATATTTAAATAAATAATGTAAATATTCATTATAGGTGGATTGGCGCAGATCATTTATTACAACTGATGCAAATCCATTTTTTGATTCGTTTGTACGATGGCAATTTCAACATTTAAAAGCAAAAAACAAGATAAAATATGGAAAACGGTATACAGTCTATTCGCCGAAAGATTGTCAACCTTGTATGGATCATGACAGATCAGTGGGAGAAGGAGTAGGGCCACAAGAGTATACATTAATTAAAATGAGACTACAAAAACCTTACCCTACATGCCTGAGGTAAGTTTTACAGAAAAATTATGATATTTGTTCCAAATACATATAATATAGTAACAACCTAATCAAAAAACAAGTGATTATTCTGTTGATCTCACAAAGAAGCACAAATGTTTACCCAGGAAATCCATTTTCCAGATAAGGGAAGTGTTGACATTCTTTTAATTCAATATTCTTACAAGTAGAATTCAGGCTTTATACTATTTTCTGTAAACTTAAATTTAATTCTGCATTGACTAAATTATTTTGAGTTTTGTTAAATTATTGCCTGATTATTGTAACGCATGGTTCAAGAACTCATTATGACTCATTATCTTTTCTTCCGTCCTTCGAAACACAAATGAACCCGGAGCGAAGTAACTACCTATGTGCCGGTAATAACTGACAAGTTGTTTAATTTCTAAGAACAGGTTCTGGAACGTGCATCCGGGTTATAGTCACTTTGCTCAGAGTTAATCGGTACATTGTTCCATCGACAGATGGCATACTCGTAAACTGTTTAGAACGAACCCAAGATGAGAGCAGGAACCAAATAAAAAAATTTAATCGGTTGAATAATAATAATGTTTTATCATTTGTCTGACTCTATTAAACAAATCAACTATATTTAAAGGAGTGCGAGAGGAGAGCCAGAGAAAAAGCCTGTTGTCAAGGCGAGAACTCAAAACCGAATGCGCCGTTTCTCAACGCGAACGGCCGCGGCGGGACCTCCTTAATCCTCCCCACCCTAACGTTATATTGTTCGGCTCGATCTCAACTCTACCGTGCTCATGGACCTTAATTATGGGAAGACGCTCACGTTTTCCCTCTTTGGTCTACCGGGTCTAGAATGCCGGTTACAACAACCCTATCCGTGGGCCTGGGATAAAATCCCGACCTTTCGGGATTTCTATCCGATTCGGGAAATTCGCAAGATGCTTCCAATCTCGTTTCCGACGGACAAAATTAAAACCAAATGTTTCCCGCTCTCCTCGCACCCCCTTGTACATTGTTCTTTTCCTTCTTTACAATGTAATACAATTAGCCACATTGTTAATATCAACACTGCACGCACCAATCAATGCGGCAAATTTTATTCTACAAAAATAATCAACAAGTAGCAGCATGTATGCCATATCGAGTTCGCAACAATACACTTTTATCAAAAGGAAAACAGATTATTGTAAATTAGAGAGCTTCTTAAATAACTGAAGGAACTGAAACGAAGAAACACAAATTATAAACTGATATAATAAACCAAAAAATATTTCTAACTTTCCACTTATTAACATGAGTAGCATGTCACTTGTAGCCACTGTACCTATCGGGGTTCGTAACAACTACCATAAACCGCGATTCTTGCGTGACACTCATGTCAATCATTGTTCAAACTTTAGAAAATTCCGATGGTTGCATTTTCCTCCATTACATCGTCGAAATGGCGAGGACTCTTCCTCCAGTAACGAAATCGCGAAGGGGAGGTCCATCCTCTTGGAAGAAAATGCAACCGATATGTTGCGTACGTTTTATACACATGCTACATAAAAATGAAACCCTACTTCCTTAAACCAAGCCAAAACACAATTTTAATCATGGGATGACTTGATTTTATTGTAGCTCTCTTTCTGACAAACCAGTTTATTTAGTAGCTGGCACTTTGAGACCAGAAACAATGTATGGCCAAACAAACTGCTGGATTCACCCAGATATAAATTATATTGCATATACTTTATCAAATGGAGATATTTATATATCAACAGAAAGAGCAGCACGAAATATGGCCTATCAAGATTTCTTCAAAGAGGAGGGAAAGATATCAATTGAATTAAAACTTATTGGGATGGTAAACTTCTTTTTACCTTTATAAGGAGCTTAGTCTAATATTAAGTATTAAATGTTATAAAATTTATAGGATATACTAGGATTACCTGTAGAAGCGCCTCTTACAAGTCACAAAGTAATTTACACTTTACCAATGATGACTATTAAAGAAGATAAAGGTACTGGGATTGTTACTTCTGTACCTAGCGATTCCCCTGATGATTATGCAGCCTTAATGGATCTAAAGAAGAAACAAACTTTTAGAGAAAAATACGGAATAACTGATGAAATGGTGCTACCTTATAATCCTGTAAGTTTAGTATACATATACTTTTTACAGTTATAAGGATGTAAAATTATAAATAAAAAACATAATTCATAAACTTTTGTATGTTAGATACCTGTTATTGAGTTGCCAGAATTTGGAAATTTATCTGCAGTGACTTTGTACGATAAATTAAAAATTCAATCTCAAAATGACAAGGCTAAATTACTAGAAGCAAAAGAGATGGTATATCTCAAAGGTTTTTATGATGGCATATTATTAGTTGGAAAATATAAAGGAAAGAAAGTTCAGGATGTCAAGAAACAAATACAAAAAGAATTGGTAGACGAAGGAACGGCAGTTATATATTATGAACCCGAGAAAACTGTAATATCTAGATCAAATGACGAATGTGTAGTAGCTTTATGTAATCAATGGTATTTAGATTATGGAGAAGAAAATTGGAAAAAAGAAGCGATGGAAGCCTTAAATAATCTTAATACCTTTCATGACGAAGTGAGAAAAAATTTCATTGTGTGCCTTAATTGGCTACACGAATATGCATGTTCTAGAACTTATGGACTTGGTAAACTTTCATAATAATTTCAACTAAACGTATTGCATAATTTTGGTAATTTAAACTTTTTAATTTCTATATTTTAGGTACTAAATTACCATGGGATGAAGATTGGTTAATAGAATCTCTCTCAGATTCAACTATCTATATGGCTTATTATACCATTGCGCATTTATTACAAGGAGGATCATTTAAGGGCGATAAACCAAATACATACAATATCAAGTAAAGTTTCAAATTTTAGATTAAAAATCTATACATGGTGTTGTATATAAAACATTACACATCATTTTGTGAGAAATTATCAAAAATTTGTTAAAATTTAAGTAGTAAAACTGTTTCTAGTAAAAGAAGTTTCAAACTTCTGATGCTATCTTCAATATTATTTGATTTAAAAACGTTTTCCAAACAAATTCTATATGATTTTTAATGAAAAATAACATGGTATACATGTCAGTAATAATTAAGAAAAAAGTTAAAATATTACTTGTAAATACTATCATTCTTGTTAATTATGTTTTTATACAATACATGTTTCGCGGTATTCAACTTTTGAAACAAAATTACCAAATTAGTTGAGAACTCGTTATATTGTATGGTAGTCTACTATTGTTAAATCTTTTAAGAATACAAAAGCAATTTTCGTTTGATCGACCCATATACAAATGTTTACATTTTCATATGATTTTTGAAACATTTTTTTTCTTAGCTTACATAGTCAATGAGATATAACAAGAATTATTTCTTAATACGACAGTAACAACGTCTTATACCTATATGTACGTATGTTAAAGTAATGATTACATTTAGGGCTAATCAAATGACACCAGAAGTGTGGGATTACATTTTCTTCAAGGATGCAAAGTTTCCAAAAACGTCCATAAAAAAGGATGCTTTAGATCATATGCGACGTGAATTTCGATACTGGTATCCAGTAGATCTAAGAGTGTCTGGAAAGGATCTTGTACAAAATCATCTTACATTTTTCATTTATACTCATGTTGCAATATGGTCTGGACAACCCGAATTATGGCCAAAAGGAATCAGAGCAAATGGACATTTACTATTAAATTCAGCTAAGGTAAAGTGAAACGCTCTGTCACATTGCCCACAATTTCTGCAAAAATCTATAAGTATTAATTTATTAGATGTCAAAATCAGAAGGTAATTTCTTGACACTTGCTGAAGCAGTAAAAAAATTTTCGGCGGATGGCATGCGACTTTGCCTAGCTGATTCTGGTGATTCAATAGACGATGCTAATTTCGTTGAAAGTGTGGCAGATGCTGGAATCCTTAGATTATATAATTTTATTGAATGGGTTAAAGAAGTATTAGCATCTAAGAGTACCTTTAGGCAAGGAAATCCACACACATATAATGACAAGGTCTTCAAAAGGTGTTTATTAAAACATATTTATAGCTCTACAATAAAATCTCGATTTAATGGACTAATTGAAAAGAAGTGGTATCCATTAATTCCAGTGGTTTGTTAAATTTAAATGTTTGAAAAATAACATTTGTATTAATCCAAAAGTTCTTTAAATAACAAACCATATGTTGTTAAGTACAGTGGAATTCGCTTTTATATTAAAAATTACAAATGTAGCAACATAATCACTCAAAAATGTGATAATTAAGTCTTACATATAGTATATAATTTATTGTTATCGAGAGAGTTTGTAGTATTAGCAAATAATTGTTGTATCTGTGTATTTTTGTAATGTAGAATACTTGTACATTTGAAAGGTTTTTGAAACGTTTTGAAAGTATATATAAATTCAGGATAGTAAAAATTTATCCATGATATCTGAAATTCGTTAAATTGAGATTTTACTATAGTTATAAATTCCATATTAAATACATAATTTAACTAGTGAAATGAACCTAAAAATACAAGAGACTGGAGATAATTATTCGAAAATGCTGTACAAGGAAGTTTTAAAAACAGGGTTCTTCGAATTGCAAGCAGCAAAAGACAAGTACATACAGTTGAGTGCATTAGATGGTTTTAATTGGATATTAATTATGAAATTTATAGAACTTCAAATCATTCTTTTGTCTCCGATTTGCCCACATGTCGCCGAACATATATGGAAACATATTGGTAAAGTAAGTATTTATGTTTATCTTTTTAATTAAACTTCAAGTGAAATTCCAAATAAAATTGTCGGCATTTAGATGAAATAAAATATTCTTTAATAGGAAGGTAGCATATTAAATGCTACGTGGCCTCATATAGGTGAAATAGATGAAATTCTCATAAAATCATCACAGTATCTTATGGATACTGCACATTCGTTTAGACTTCTTTTAAAAAGTTACATGACACCAAAGAAAGGGTCAAACAAAAGCAATGGGACAGCAATTATAGAAAAACCTACAGATGGTATAATTTGGATAGCTAAGACTTATCCTCCTTGGCAAAGCATTATTTTAACTACAATGAAAGATTTATACCTTGTAAGTAATTATTGCAAAATACATTTGAAAAGCAACAAAATTTTCTGTTTAGACTAAAGTGTTTTATATTGAATCACTTTACAGAAAAATAACAATAAACTGCCAGAAAATAAAATTATTGCAGTGGAATTGGGAAAATTACAAGAATTAAAAAAGTACATGAAACGAGTAATGCCATTCGTACAAGTTATGAAAGAAAAAATGGAACTTACTGGATTAAGTGCGCTTAATTTAGTGTTAGATTTTGATGAATTCAAGATTCTTCAAGATAACAAAAACTATCTTCAAAATACTTTAGATGTAAGTAATGTACTTTCTTTGTACATTTATACACAGGTTGTTATCGAACGGGAGGTGATTCTACGTGCGAAAATAAGTCGAAAAAAAGAAATTTAATTTCTTTCTTAATTCTTTTCTAATTATTTTTTTCTTAATATTGTTCTTGAGAATCCCAGAATAATAATAAACATATTATCTACACATTTTCAGACTCGATTTTGTAGTAAACGAAGCTTCAAACGGAAAAATATTATTCCTTTTTTTCGACTTATTTTCGCACGTAGAATTACCCTCTGCCCGATGATGCCACTCGTTCGGTAACACCCTGTATGTATAAATTTCTTATATTTATTGACTTACCGATTTATCTAAATTTAGTTGGAGACTATTGTGATAAAGTACACCGATGAAGCTTCTGAAAAAACAAAACAAGAATGCTGTCCAGGCTCTCCGTACATGAATTTTTCTAGTAAACCTGGCATTTCAGTATGTATTATGAATCCACAAAAGTGTAGCAGTTTATTTAGGATATCAGTAAAGATCATGGATGCCGATAGTGTAACAGACATCATATCACGAATATTAAAAGAAAATAAACAAATAAAAGGTATGTATTCCAAACACAAAAATAATTATTGTAATCTACGGTAGCAAACATTAGTTAGTATTCAAATTAAATTAAAAAAATTTTATTTTAAATGTATCACATTAAATGATAAGAGAAATTCTTTTTGGTAATAAGATCAAATCGAGATAATTACTTAATATTATTTATTTTTTCAGATCCATCGTCAGTTTCTCTATACCGTTATAATGATCCCCTTTTAGGACCCAGAAGTAAACCATTTATGGATAATATTTTACAAGGTAAAACTGAAATACCTCTTAACTCCATATTTAATATCGATACAAAAACCAAAACTATTAAAGTAAATGTAGAAGGTAGCATACATGACATTGGCAACGATCTAATATACATAGTCCAATCTGAGAAAAACTGAAATATAAATTTTATATTTTTGTTATGTAATACATTTGTACAATATGTACACTGGAAGGTGTTCAATTTTTCTGCATATTCTTTATATCTTAATAACTTTATTTATAAAAAAGTATTACACAAAAACGTTGTATATCATATTACTTTTTACTCATACATTGTTTCAATTTTAAAGTAAAATTTGTTTAATGATTGTTTATAATTATGCTTAAGAAAAACTGCTTTCATTACGGAATATATAACAGAAATATTTTACATTTAGATTATTGAGAATACCTTCTTATTATATTGTAGTACATATAATGCATAAAATTATTTATATATTACATATGTACAATAAATTGTAGGCACTTTTCATTTATTCTGACAATTATCCACTTCTGCTCGTATTTTCTTTATATCTGCAGCATGTGTTCTACAACATCCGCCTATATATCGTACACCCATATTAAGCCATTCGTGTATAAATTGATGTAAAGAATCCCTTTCATCCTTTTTCATCCAACCAGTTTCTACTGTATATTTCTCACCACTATTCGGGTATACAATTAAAGGTATAAATTCTTGTTTAGAATGTCCATTAATTCCTTTCAATAAAGAACTCACACATCGTGGTGCGATACAATTAACGCCAACTGCTAATATTTGTCCTGGTAAAGCCATTTTATAACTCTGTATTGCAATTCTTTGAAAGTTAGAACCATCAGCTATATTCTTTCCATCGTCACGACAAGAAAAAGACAACCAAGCCTTAGCATTTGGGAATTCTTTTAATAAACTAACTAACGCTTCTGCTTCTTGTTTGCATGGTATTGTTTCCATCGCTAATATATCTACGCCACAGTCGATCAATTTACTGATACGAGGCCTATGCCAATCCATAAGAAATTTTTTCAATACGGTTGAGCAGTATTTACCAGTGTATTCTGAAGCATCATGTAAACAGGCGCCATATGGTCCAATAGATCCAGCAATTAATGGATTTTCATTTAAAATATCTCCTTTATTTTCTATTTCTTTCTTGTATAAATTTACAGCTATTTTAGCATAATTTACAGCTTTACAAAATAAATTAAGACTTTCCTCCTCTGTCATATTCATATGTTTTAAAAAACCATCTATAGATGCCTGATAAGTGTTTGTAAGAATTATATTAGCTCCAGCTCTTAAAAAATCCAAATGTGTAGAGATAATAGCTTTAGGATTTGTAACAAGAAATCGTGCTGTCCATAAAGGATCACCATCTATTATATCACCAACATAGGTTGCTAATTGTGTAGAAAATCCACCATCTAACACTTTCACTTCTTGCATGTTTCTCTCTTAAAATAGCTGTATTTGGTTGTTACGAATTATTATTAATATTGTGTAAATAATAAAATAATTCGTTTATATAAAGAAATGTAACATCATTTTCTAATTTAGAAAATAATAAGTTATGTAATTTTCTGCAATAACGGCACGTACTTCTTAACGTAAATAAAACCGCAAGAAATCAATTCTTATATATGTACTTTCACGCACGTCTTAGTTGTTTAAATGTTTCTAAAAGACTGAGGCAATATTTTCTATAATTGGCCTCATAGAATGCACTTACTCCAAAGTCCATAAAGAAATCTCAGATAAATATTAAAGCGAATAAAGGTTTAAGAAAGACATGTTCCAAGATTACCCAATAAAAGATTATTTTTTATACCTACACAGTGAAGATTTTATCAGCAAGATCAAATTCCGTCACATGTTTACATGCATACGATAAATTATGTATTTCGTGCTGCACAGAGCATATGTAATATTTTCTACTTTTTCAATCTGTATCAAACATGAGTCTGATAAGTTTCGTCAATATTTATTTACCACTATCTTCCATCAGATAGATTTAAAGCTACTGTAGACGGTTTTAACTTTAATAATAATAATGATAATTGTATTCCTCTGTAGAGTATTTTATTCCATTAAAATGCAGTGTATAAAATATAAATATTTTGTCAATAATTTATTCGCAGATTCATAAAAAATGTATAGTTAAAATACTTATCAAAACTTTGTGCAACTTATTTTTCTATTCTAAAAATTCAATAATAATTAGAAATCATTGCAATATAAAATGTATAAATTACGAATATAGTTCTGACATATGTGTATGCTAAAATAATCATTTATTTATAATGAAAAGTAAAATTAATAAAATTTTAATAAACACAAATTATCGACCTTTAATTTTAGATACAATCAATTAATCCATCACTGTTTTCTTTTTTTTATAATTATTTACTTCCTTCCTAATCGATTTTATGTTTTCTGCATACATTCTACAACAACCTCCAATGTATTGTATTCCAAGATCTAACCATTCAGGGATAAAACTTTCAAAAGAAACACAACTTTCATTTTGTATCCATCCTTTGGTCGTAGAATATATTTCTCCACTATTAGGATACGCTATTAATGGTATGAATTCGTTTTCTCCATTTTTGTTAATATTTTTTAATAGGGAAGATACATCTTTTGGAGCAAGGCAATTTACACCAATAGCAATTATTTGTCCTGATAAAGCCGTTTTATAACAGTGTGTAGCTACTTCTTGGAAATTGCTTCCATCCACAATATTTTTACTGTTCTTTTCGCAAGAAAATGAAAGCCATGCTTTGACATTTGAATATTGTTGTAAAAGTTCAATCAATGCCTCTGCTTCTTGATAACAAGGTATAGTTTCTAATGCTAATAATTCTATACCAGCATTTATTAAAATGTCAATACGTGATTTATGCCATTGAATCATAGTTTCACGAGATACAGTTTTGCCATAAGCTCCATTATATTCTGATCCATCATGTAAACTAGCTCCATAAGGTCCGCAAGAACCAGCAATCAAAGGTTTTTTATTTTCAATGTCATTATTATCTGCTATTTCTATTACATAATCATTAACAGCTTTCTTAGCAAGATGAACAGCTAGCTGTAGCAACTTTATGCTCTCATCTTCAGTTATAGATAAGTGTTCCATTAAACCAAAAACCGAGGCTTGATATGTATTTGTTTCTATGATATCTGCACCTGCTCGCAAAAAATCTAAATGTGTAGCATAAACAGCAGTAGGATTTGTCGCTAAAAATCGTGCTGTCCACAGTGGATCGCCATCAATTTTTTCACCAACATGAGTAGACAATTGCGTAGAAAATCCGCCATCCAGAATCTTTACATCCAACATCTCTCAACACTTTTCTACGAATATTCAACGTAATACAAAAATTATTTATCTTTTTTATTAAAACACTTAAATACGTACAGTATAAATTTTGTAAATGATTTAGTACTCGTAGTATAAATGGTTAAATTTTGCACGATTAAAACTGTAATAAAACTAAATAAATTAAACTGACGACACAACGATTTCGTATCATACATATATCGTCAACTTGTAAATTAATTGCGATAACCTTTTCATGTAACTTGTAGACAGACTCAATAAGCTTACCTACCGTTATCTGAACAAAATATTGTTTCTGCTTTCTTTGAAAATTATTATTCGCAAATAAAATCTATACTGATTTATCGTTTTAATATTTAATCACGCACATATACTTATGTTTCTCGATATTTTACAAGAAATTCGTAAAAAAAATCTCAAATTTACTCTATGTTACTATAAATAAAGATATAATACGAAGTACAGTATATTATTTAATATATTACGTTCTTCGATTTATCTTTTCTTTTAAGACAGTATTTAATATTTAAATATTTCGGATGTCACAACTTTTAATATTTAATCACGCACATATACTTATGTATATTCAATTAACTAAAATTTGCTATATGTAATTAAATATAATAATTAGCGCACATATTTAATTCTGAAGTATTTGTATGTATTTATAAAAGGACAATAATTGGAGAATTCAATAAATATTTGATATTATTTGATATGTAAATTTGTACTACGTATTGACCTTGAAATTTATTTATGGATCACAAAACAGTTAAACGTCGATACCCTGATAACATATTAACGACGTTTTTATGATAAATTTCGAATATAAAATAAATCTTTATCTAAAGATCATTCATTTGTATATTATAATCATCATTGATACATATAAATATTAAATAATTATGTCAAGTATTTTGTCAATTTTATGTGTTCTTTCTAAGTGGTAAGAGCACTTTATTGAAGTTTTATTTACCGGCTTACTTAAACTCAAAATTATAATAATTTAAAAAGTAATTTATTTAAATACTCACTAACAAGAAATTTTAATAAGATTCAGTTAAGCCATTTCAAAATAAAATTCGATTTTTAAATTCGTGTTGTGCTTTTAAACAATTATACATTTGAGAGGAATTTATTTATATTGCGTTTTTATAATTTCGTACTTCTATTTATAAATCTTTTTTTTTCAAGACAGTATTTTAAGAATATTGTTAATTTTTATAATATTTACATAACAAAAAAATATAAAAAAAAGATTACCATTAAATCTGAATTTGAACAAGAAAATGTTACATACCGAATTATGTCTAAGGAAAAACAGATATGAAGTACTTACAATGAGTTGAAAGTAGAATAAAACAAAATTAAGCTAAATAATAATGTAAGAAATTATGTACAAAACATGTCTTACTTTACAGTTACTTTAAGTAGAAGGAAATGTTCTATTTTCCATTTGTAACATGTATTTGAAAAAATGAAATACAAACAATTCTTACATTGATTCAAATGCGTTTACAAAATACAAAACGTAATTAGATACATGTTGTAACTCAAGAAGTTAAGAAACTATGCAATAATAAAACAAATGATAAAACAGATTATTCGGTTCATAAATCAATACAATTTTAATTTCTGTATTTCAATTATACGTTGTTTGTTAATATTTATTATTGTTATTATTTAATAGTTAAGCGAAATATGAATTGCTATTTAGAATATATTAGTGAAATATGAGATTTAAACATTTATTACAACTTTACAGTATTCAATAATACAGAACCATTATTACAAATGTTAAATAAAATTTTTAGCATTTATAATAGTCCAAGACTTTTTTCCATAACAGCATGAGGTTGACCCATTTGTTCTCTGAATTCAGGTGTATTAAGTATATCTTCAAACCTAAGTATATGACAAGAAATAATGTGTCAAATAAATGTTCTAGTGGTGCACAAGTATAATCTGTTATTAATATGCAATTAACAGATGAAGTTTCAAAATGGATACAAAAATTTACCCTATTTCCTCATCTCGTCCAAGTAGAACATCTCTCATCATGTTTGATGATGGTAAAAATGGAAGTCTACCAATACTTTCAGTGGCTTTTAATTCCATTGCTATACGCATTGGAGCATGTATTCCTTGTATATTTCTGAGTAATGTCATATTCATACGATCACGATTTTTTTGATACTGAAATATTCTATAAATGTACAAGGTACCAAAACAATTATTCTAATTTTTTAAATTATTTTCTTACATTTTTCTCAGATGCTTCTATAGGATGTGAATAGCCTATACTTTGCCTAGTTCCTGATAACCTAATCAATAAAAACGAAATAATAGGTTAAAATATAAACATGAGAAAACATTTTTTGATTAGAATATTTGACAATATATCTGTTCATACCCTGAAACCATAGGATTAGGAATACCGTAACTGCCATTCTGAATGTTGAAGTGACCATTAACAGTAGGTTTTGGAACAACTGATGGTAACTCGAAACTCTAAAATTTATTATTTTAATGTATCGTATTAAATGAGTTATAACATTGGATATAATTTATTTTCTAACTCATAAAAAGTAATACTGTAAACATTGTTTCTAACATAACCTTAATATTAAAGGAAATAATAACATTCGAAATATACGTTAAAATTATTGTAATGAATTTCCTTCAATAGTTAGAAAACAATTACAATTAATATCATCTATTACCATTATTTTTTAGATATATATAACTCAAATTCCTACAAAAAGCAAAAGTCACTTCTCACGATTCACAAGACTATATATTATACTCATAAACTCATACAAATACAACATGACTAGCAATGTTACCAAACGGCAGACCGGTGCCCATCGGAAACTACCCCTCCACTTATGCACACTAATGCACAGTACACGTTCCATGACTGTGCAAAAGTGTGTATTCGTGGTTGGGCAGTTTCCTCATGACACTAGTCTGCTGTCTGGTAACACTGAACATGATGTTGCGTCCCGAGTTCGCGGTTTAGGGAAAAAGGACGGTGGGTTGGTGCCCGTGGAACGCTGAACCGCTCTGCTCGGCGAAGCGCGCAAAAATCAAACTACTCGATACGTTCAAAAATACTTTGGCAAAATTTATTCGTTGGAGTTAGCTCGGCGTACGACTTTTAAATACAACTCGGTTGAGATCAGAGATGCCAGAAAAGCACCGCCGGGTGCACACGCACACATGCCAGATACGCGTACGTGAGCTCGTGGAGTTTCGGAAAGTCGACAAAGGCAAACTGACGCATGGCCTCTTTCTCGATTCTCCGAAGCTGCCCGAAGTAATTTCAGATCGCCTCGTGGGAGTCGAGAGAGAAAGGCTCACATTTGCCTTCTCGCTCTAAACAACTGAAATCCGACCTCCCGTCAACGGCATACGATTTAGATTCTCGAGCCGAGATTCTCGACTGCCCAGGCATTTTTACTTTCCGACCTATGTAGGCGCACATAAGCAAAGTACCCATAATGAAAAAAAAATTTTGTAAAATTTATTTTACGGAAATACACGTTTTAAGACCTCCTGATCATATTTTAATTATTGAAAAAAAAGAAATTTTTTTTATTCCCATGTATGAGCACACATATGTATATTATTATTACGATTGAGTATAAATAGCTAAATGAATTTAAATGAAACTTTACATTTAAGTTTTATGTTCTCATTTCAAAGTCCGGTTAGACTTTGACTATAATCAGTCCATGGATAATAATGATTATACCTCTTGTTTCATAGTTGTTCCGATATATGTATAGGCATAATGTATACAAAATCTTTTAAATGTTTCATATAAATCTTAGGACGAATTAAATTTTATATATGTTATACAGACGCGTAGAATGGAATTAGGAATTAAGAAATACGTAGGGTATTCGTATACATGCATTATTCCCGTTCTTTCAGTGTCGGAAAAACAAATGAGCCCGTCCTGGGCCTAGACCCACGCCTTTGTCGTCAGCCTTCTCCCCCATCGGTAGGGGTGGGAGTGTTGACGGACGAAGGCCAGACGCGGTCCCTTGCCAGCGCCTCGGCTTGGGCCTCGCCTTTTCCCGACGCCTTACATATAAAAAAAATTATATAAACTTTTTCTCTATCTTCTCTAGAAAAGAAAAAATTATATGAAATCTTATACATTACATGCTTACTTAAATCGCATTGAAAACGAATACCACAAATGTTTTAGAATAATGTGCAAAATGTGATTACGATTTTCGCTAAGACAAATTGAAAACTCGGTTCTAACAAGGAAAAGTTGGAATGGTACCCGATTTTGGGTTAGGTTTTACTTTGAAATATTAATAAAGTTATTACAGATACTTATCTTCAGAAATAGAAATACATTCAACAATCAGCGCGGCGTGAATGACAAGGTATTTGCCTGCAAGTTCCGAGCTTCTTCTGCTCTGCAGGTTCAAACCCTGCCAAAACAAATCCTTTTTTTTTATTTTTTCAATCATATTTTAATCGTACACTAAATGTGACATTATATTTTTGTCTGACCTTCGAATATTTTTTTTTTTAAATTGAATTTAACATATGTTATTTTCAATGTACGAAGTACATGAATCTGGATGGTACTTTTCGTAAAAACAGTGAAAACATAACAATTTCAAGCACCACCTACATCTAATGAAAGTTCTGTTTTCACAGAAATAACAAAATTTTGTATCTAACTCTGATGGAAAGGCCGCTTCATTTACATTGATAAAATGTGAACGATTTTCGGATAGTCGTACCTTGTAGCTCGTACTTTTTACCTTATACTTCAGGTAAAAAGGGATATAGCTGGGAAAAACAGTTTTATGACATTACCTGCTAACTTATGTTACTGTTCTACAATGAAACGCTATGTTTTGTACCTTTAAAAATATTCGACTATGTCCTTTTAAAATTTAAGATGCAACCCATACTTTGTATTAAACTGGCAAACGGGATCACTTTTCCTTTGTTTCTAGTTAGTTCTATTTAGTTTGTCATAATAAATTGATATGGTTATCTCAAAACAATCGAGGAAAATCATTATTAATTAATTTCTGCAATTATTAATTCTACTGTTTTGTTTATGTTATAAAAGTAAGAACTCTTCTTATTGAAAAATACCACAGCGTGCACAATACTGGAAAAATCGTATTAATAATATATGTACATTGTTGTATGACTAACTCATAAGCCAACATAGATACCGCACTAGAATCATCCTTACACAAACATCCCAGTCATAGGTTCCAAACTCCAGCCTTTCTAGCCTCCTGTACCCGCTTACTCATCCTGTACCCGGTTACTCATTCCGTACGCCACCATTGTCACCCTCAAATATATAAACGACGCACATTTTTGGACTCAAGTCAGATCTCTGTAGTTTGTACTAACGTGCGGAACTTGCCGTAACGATCGAATAAAACCACCAGTCTCTCTAGTAAAGTGTTGTTCTTAATCCCGCAACCCGGGATCCAACAACATATGCACGCTCATACATGGGACTAATAAAAAAAATTTCTTTTTTTTCAATAATTAAAATATGATCAGGAGGTCTTAAAACGTGTATTTCCGTAAAATAAATTTTACAAAATTTTTTTTTCATTATGGGTACTTTGCTTATGTGCGCCTACATAGGTCGGAAAGTAAAAATGCCTGGGCAGTCGAGAATCTCGGCTCGAGAATCTAAATCGTATGCCGTTGACGGGAGGTCGGATTTCAGTTGTTTAGAGCGAGAAGGCAAATGTGAGCCTTTCTCTCTCGACTCCCACGAGGCGATCTGAAATTACTTCGGGCAGCTTCGGAGAATCGAGAAAGAGGCCATGCGTCAGTTTGCCTTTGTCGACTTTCCGAAACTCCACGAGCTCACGTACGCGTATCTGGCATGTGTGCGTGTGCACCCGGCGGTGCTTTTCTGGCATCTCTGCGTACGCGTATCTGGCATGTTGAGTGTGCACCCGACGGTTCTTTTTTGGCATCACTGCCTGGTAACAAAGAACTGGTTATACCACAGCACAGCCGACTCTAGTACTCTAGCCGTGCTATGGACCGTGGCAACACCGCTCATGTGCGGATCGGGAGTCCTATTTTCAATAGTGGAGTTTTGTGTTCAGGATTATAATTAACGTTATTTTGCGATATAAAATTATACTAATTGTAAGCAACCTTTAGGTTTGTAACGAATGAATGCGGTTATATTATGTGAGAGTTTCGATTGATGGCATTGCCAACTATGTGTGTGTGTTTCGCGTGAAGTATGTATTAGAAGTTGTTCATTTTATTAGTTAATCGTTTGTTAATAATAATTTAGTTAGTTACGTTCAAGCCAGCTTTCTGTACAAAACATTGAATTTAGATATTAAAGGGAAAATATCTTACAGATATTATCAGAAGTGAGATAAAGAGACCACGTGTGTGTTTTATCAGTTAGGGGAACTACGTGTTAAAGCCGGTTGTTTTTTTTTTTTTTTTTTTTTTTTAAAAAAAAATTCCGTCCATTGAGTGAATTTTATGTACTTTGGCTCATCCTTTAGAAGTACCGGCGCGCGAGACATTAATTCATTCATTGGAGTTTAGTTATTTGCTTTTGGTGGAAAATGAGTGAAAAAAACATTACTGTGGCGCAGTTAAGAAATGTCGCAAGGCATGTGGGCGTCTCTGTCTCAGGCAACAAGGCTGAATTGTTGTTGAGATTGGAAGCTGCTTTTCCTAATAACGCATGGAAGGAGATGATGCCGGAAGCTGTTCCTGAGGTGCAGAATCTGAGGCTGGAGGAGAGTCTGCCAGGATCAGATGATGCACTGAATGAGGCTGAAGGACACTCGCTGGCCAGGGAAATGGAATTCATGCGGCGAGAAGCAGATTTGATGAGGAGAGAGCTTGCACTTGCCCATCGGGAAAACGAGATATTAAGGAGTTCCTCCCGGACTGTATCGCACGTTTCTGATAGGCCAAATGTGAGCATCAAGGCAATGAGTGACTTGTTGAGTAACTTCGATGGCTTGGAATACACATTTCTTTCCTGGGAGAAACAGGTGAGGCTATTACGCACTACTTACGATTTAGATGATAATACTACCAGAGTGCTGATTGGGACTAAATTACGGGGCAAAGCGTTGCAATGGTTCCATTCAAAAGCGGAACACATTCAAATGGATGTTGAAACGCTAATGTCTGAGTTGAAAAAGATGTTTGATCACCCACCTAATAAGTTGTTTTTGAGGAGAAAATTTGAGGAAAGAATGTGGAGAACGAGTGAAAGTTACAGCGAATATCATCACGATAAGGTTATCATGGCCAACTGCATATCGATAGCGGAGGATGAGTTAATAGATTATTTGATAGATGGGATTCCCAACCCGTTATTGCGAAATCAGGCAAGAATGCAGAGCTTCACGTCTTCTCCTGAATTGTTGACTGCATTTGAGAAGATTAGTTTATGGTCTGACGTCAAAAGAAATGCTGCCGTGAATTTGCAACCAAGAAGTAGGAATGGTTTCAGCGCTATGGAGAACGTCCGTGCAAAAGCAACGAAATGCTTCAATTGTAATGAAGAAGGACATTGGTCGTCGTCTTGTCCTAAACCAAGGCGAGAAAAAGGCTCCTGCTTTGCGTGTGGAATATTGGGTCACACTTTCCAAAATTGTCCCAGAACCGCAACTGGAACTCTGAAAAAGCCGTCCAGCAGCGGAACAACTGCCCTTATCGACCTGCCCAATAGATCATCGTCTGAGGATTTGCCCTGTACTGCTGAGCAGAGTAGAGGATCACCAGCCAGGACTCCGCTGACGAAAGCGACCCATGGGTGCTGCGTGCTGGTGACCGAAGCATTGGAACATGATTATTTTATTG